CCTGGGTATCACTGTCGATAGAAGCCTGACCTGTAGGGATCAGGTGGAGGCAGTTGCGGTGAAATGCCAAAAAGGACTCAATGCTCTCAAGATTATGGCAGCAATGCATGGAACAAAGAATACTGTTCACAATGTTCCAGCATGTGATCCTATCGGTGATAGATATGGACTTGGAATGCTTACCATATCAAAGAGTCCGCTGATAAAACTCGAACGCATACAGAATGATGCAATGCGGGTAATTCTGGGATGTACAAGAGATCCCCCGGTAGTATGTATGCGATATATACTTGCACTGCCTGCTATTGCAGAAAGGCTCAAAGTTCTGCAAGCAAAGTCATATCTAATGTGTATGGTTCTTATCACGTTAGATCGTGAGTGCAGAGACTGGCCAGCCAGTGCTGCAGAATCGGAAGTTCAACAAATGATTCATGACAATTCCCGCCCAAGTGATGTGATTATCTATGCAGATGGTTCTGTGTTGAGGGGCAGACGAAGTGCATGGGGTTTCATAGCAAAAGTGAATGGACGTCGCCTAGTGCAGCAAAACCTTGCATATGATATCACAACGTCTAGTTTGAGAATGGAAGTGGGGGCAGTCTCTGGCTTGAGAATCAGCTGTACGCACATGCCGTGATTGTAACTAATTCACAGAGCATGTTGAGAAAGTTGAAAAAAGGCATGTTTTGTGCAGAGGTCCCGGGTAGTTAGCATCCTTTGGATATTTTCTCTAGGGAATGTCGGTGTGTTGGGAAACGAGCATGCAGATAGATTGGCTGGCTCTGCACCACTTGTGATGAATTGATGTATGACAAATTAGATATTGTGAGGACCCTTTGGGAGCTGGTAAACAGTGCAGAGGCGCACATAGACCATTACGGTCTGAAGAGAATAACCGACGCTTAACACCCAGGGAAAGGATGAGACGGATATACAATCAGACGGTTTCTTGTATCATCGGAATTGGAACTCTTCGCTTGCTGCTGAAGATGAGGACTGAGCACTTTTAAAAATAGTTTTATATTGTGAATCACAGACCGTGGCGATGGAACTGGTTATATCAGGACCCCCGACCTACTGCCGGGGTGGAACTTTAAAATAAATATAAAAATTGCTTTACATATTTGATGCAATCCATTCATGTCTGATTAACACAGCAATGATTTTCTTAAGAATATTCATTGAGTAACTAATTATGCATGAGCGTGTGATCTGTTGAGTACCTAAACATGTTAATGCCCTTGATGCAGCCAGTTTCCATTGTGAGGCTGCTGGTTTAACACCATACCCTGCCCCACACCCTCCCTACTTTTCGGGTCTTTTGAGCTCAATGTGAGTACACATGCACTGCGATTTCCCCTGAATTACCTAAACTAAAGCAGAGGACAACGCGCAAGATTGCAAGCCTAGAAGCACCAGGAGTTGGAAGGATACTGACTTTTGCGGATGATATACTTGCATATAGGCAGGGGGAAGAGAGGGAACAAACAGCCCGGGAGCTACAAGCGACACTAGACAAAGTGACTGAGTGGTGTACAGAAATGATGGCTGTCGTCCACTCGGAAAAGGCGACTGTTTTGTGGTGTTCTCTGGACAACAGAATTGTTAAAACTAATGTCCCAAGTTTCACGATTGATGGTAGAAACGTCAACAGAGAGAGCAAAATGAAGTATCTGGGAATTACATTTGACAGGAGCCTGTCATGGACCATGTGGAGAGTGTTGTGACGAGAAGCCAAAAAGGACTTAGTGCACTTAAGACTATGGCTGCAATTGACATAGAACAGAGAATGCTTTTCACACTATATCAGCACCTGATCTTGTCAGTGGTGGATTGTGGCCTGGGACTGCTTACCGTCTCAAAGAGTCAGATGGACAAACTAGAGCGCATACAGAACGCGGCTATGAGGGTCATTCTGGGTTGCACCAGAGACACCCCAGTGTTGTGTATGCGATACAACCTTGGTTTGCCGACGGTTGCAGGTAGGCACAAGGTGCTGCAGGCGAAGTCATATCTCAAAGTAGCTGCAGACACAGACCACCCTCTGCATGAAGCTCTGGGCGCAGTTAAGGGTCAGCGACTGATAAGAGGGAGGTCATGGATGGCTCAGACACAATCCGACAGGTTTGCATCATTGAGAACATTAGGCGAGGAGAGGAGTGGGTCAAAGTGCCACCTGAACAGTCAGACTTGTGTAGATTCATAATCACGCTGAGCCGGGAATGCAGAGAATGGCCAACAGGTGCCACAGAAATGGAAATTCAGCAATTAATTCAAGTTAATGATCGCTCAGAGGATTTGATCGTTTACACAGACGGTTCAGTGTCATGATGCAAAAGAAGTGTTTGGGGCTTCTTAGCCAAAGTAAATGGGCGACGTTTGGTGCAGGAGAGCCTAGCATATGATCCCACAACACCCAGCTTAAAAATGGAGGTGGAGGTGGTCACTGCAGCTTTCCGCTGGCTAGAGAACACGACACACACACACTTCGTGATTGTAACTGATTCAGAAAGCATGCTGAGGAAGATCAGAACAGGTATGCTTCGTGCAGAGTGTCATGCTTCGCTGCAGAGGACACGAGTGAGGAGTATTGTCTGGAGTTTTTCACCGGGGTACGCCGGTGTGTGGGAAATGAACAGGCGGACAGACTGCCTGGCTCTGCGCAACTTGGTGGAATACTGATACATAAGGCGGACGTGGTTAGTGCCTTGTGGGAGAGCGTGTACAATAGGGAGGAGCAGATGGATCACCACAGTCTGGTGAGATTGATGCAGTTGGGGGTGACGAGAGGTTCTGGCAGATGCTCGAGGCTCAGAGGAAAGGCAAGATGGACGTTTAATCAGAATGCTACTGGCACCATTAGTATCGGAACTCTTCGCTGGATGCTGAAGATGGGGACGGAGCGCTTATGGGAATGCCCCGAGTGCTGTGATGTCGGTTCTTGAATCAAATCAAATCAAAGCAGAGGATACCGTTTAAAGAGAAGCAAGTCAAGAATGCCACTGAAATTACCATCGGACTAGCAACATCAGTCGAGCAAATACATAGGATGTAGGAATGAGTCGACAGAAAAACACACAACAGCATTCACCATCAGGTCATCATAACCTAAGGAAGAGAATTAAGAAAGTAGTGTAAAGGTATGGCAGAATTAAAGGTACAACTCTTAGATGACAACTCGGGGATAAATGATAGAATAGTGTACACTGATGGTTTTGTTCATCGTGGTGAAGAATCTGGCTGGTGTTTCTCAGCCTCAGTGAAAATGAAAGGTTATAGCGGAACAAAATGTGACGTTTTTATCTGCCATTCAAGCATGGAGCTGGGTCCAGTGGTTATAGCTCTGAAGGGGATAGGTTAAAATACAGTTACCAACTGATTTTCAGCTGCGTGTGTGGGAATGTATATGTGCGAGTGTATTTGTGGTTCTGAATGTTGCTGTTATAATTCCAAAACTCCTAGCACCAAGGGCTTCCCACTCTTTCTTTGTGAACTCTACCTGTGTTATTTGATGCCTTAGCAGTGAGATAGCATCAGAGCCACTCCGTCTCTGGGAGAAGCACTTGTTTTCTGAATCGTATGAGTAAACCGTGTTGTCATTCTACTGTTTAGGAACTGTTTGCCTGTTCCATTTCATATTGTTTCGCAAAAATCACATAATGCTAATTTTATAATAGTTCACACACACACCCTCTCTCTCTTTTACCCACATCCCCCCCCCCTTTTTTTTTTTTTCCACCCACCCAAGTGTTGTTCTTCCCATGTCTTATATAGTTCTAACACTTTAAGTTCGGCATAATTTTGTCTGTTAAAAAAAAATATTTTCTGGTTTCTTCGTACCAATCCATCGTGTGTTTTTTTTTCTAGTTGGGTACTATAGCCTTTTTTCCCCCCTTTTAAAGGCTTGTTTATAAAAGAAAGTTATTTACTGCCGCTGAAGCTTCTACGGGGTTTAGTTATGAGTGAGATTTTTTTCACAGCACTCCTGGTACATCCATAGACGCTCAGATTCCCCTCTCATACATATTCATCAGCGTCGTGCGGTTAATAGTGCCAGTCCTATGTTGGTTAATAAGACTTCGTGTGCTTCTCATGCTTCGCTGTGCCGATCTTTACTCCTAATTAGAGTATTCTTAGCTGTGATGTGGACATGTTGCTTCAGACATCCTCAGAACGTCCTATCTCTCTAAGGGCAATGAAAATGTCTGCGTGATCCATGGGCCGGCCATCTTTAATTAATGCAGCACCCACTAGTCTATCAGCTCTTTCATTACCAACAACGCCTGCATTGGGTGGGGTGGATGAAGCCCCCCCCCCCCCAATCCTTTATGAAGACGAACCATCTCTGGTTGTTTCAAGCGACATACATGGTCGTAGTATTTTTGTATCTCTCGTTAAAATACAAAAGAACATGTGTACTCTAAACAAGAAAACAGAAAATTTTCGAGATAATGAATTAATGTCTTCAATGCTTACACTGGAAGGTTTCGTTTTATTCGAGTAACAAATAATTTTCAGCAGTCTTAATAAGTAAAAAAAAATTTCATACTATACTAAAAAAAAAATAACTATTAGAAAATAAATATGTTTCAAAGATATATAAACTTAAAATTTGACCCCAGTTAGCAAAGATAATAATGTTTTTCCATGCTACTTATTTATCCCGCGACTGCCATCTGCTGTTTGTGATTTCCGGTAACGCTAGAGAAACGAAAACATCACGCGAATCTTCCTGTTTGTTTTGCATTTCTGTAGTTATTTGACATATTTGTTTATAAATCCTTGGGTTGTTTAATGTGCTAAAATACTTATCATACTGTTTAACGTAACTGAAGATGATAGTTATTACTTGTAACATACAGTTTCAATCGTAAGGCTGACTGGCAACACAGGACTTAACAAACACTCACACTCATCGTTGCTGACTCGATTACCAGGTACCAAAAACATTCATACAACTTTCACGTATCCAGCTAATCTCAAGTCGGTATAACTAGAAAATGGGTTCATCTAAAAAGCATAAAGAGAAAGATCGCGAAGGCAAAAAGAAGAGAAAGCATCGGTCTAAATCTAGGTCCCGATCACGAGAAAGAAAGAGACGGCATAGGGACAGATCTAGATCCAAATCTCCAGGGAATGACAGAGGACGAGAGACATATGAAGCCTCGTACAAAGATTCTGGTTTTTCAGACGACCCTAGAGCCATCAGCATTGATTATAATCATGCCTATGTGAATGAGCGGAATAGAGATCAACGTCCTCCAGGTAAGCAGTTTATGTGTGACATAATTTCTAGTCAAATTGCTAAATTTATATTTTATCATTATTATCATAAAAAGTATTGTCACAAACAAGCTGCTGTCAAGGGAGCTTACAAAAGGAAAAGGTAGTCACAAATATACAGCCAAGCATTCTCTCACAGTTTTTATTTGTCAATCATTCAATGAACATAAAAGATAGTTTCATATCCTTTCAGTCACATTATTCATTAGGATTATTATTACATTCTAGTCAGATTACTAAAGCAGTCTTATTTATCATAAAAGTATTGTCACAAATAAGCATGACTGCAGTAAAAATGCTATCAAGGAGTAACTAACTTGACACTATCATGAGGGAGAGAGCGAGCTTACAGATGGAAAGTTGAAAGCAAGCATTTGAAATATACATACAACCAGATGTGTCTCTCAAAGTTTTTATTTGTCAGTCAACCAAGGAAGTTAGTTGCATTAAACATTATCCTTGACAGGATATTGCAGAACCAACCTCAGCAAATTTTGGCTGTTTATTTTTACTAGGCAGTTTTACCTTCAGTACTTCAGCTAATTTGCAGTTGCTTTCTGAACATTGGCTCTCAATACCATTGTCAGAATCAACGCAGAGCATTCTGATAAATTTCCTGCAGCTGAAACAGAACTGCTTATATCGGAATTATGAAGCATGTTTGCAGTCATTGCAGCAGTGCTTAAGCCGCACACGCTGACCACTGAATATAAACAGATATACATATCTTGCCCATTGTCTTATAGTTCCATTTAACTTCACTCTCTAGCTCCCTTCTCCATGTGTTTTTAGTCTCCTTTATTTCTGTGCCCCTGTGGGTTCCAATGCAAAGACATTCTAGTTATATTGTTTTCAGGCTGTATTTGTGCCCATCTTTTCCTCTGTTGCTTTTAATAGTTAAACGTTTGTGTTGTGTTAAGTTACTTATCATTACTTATCATTCATTAGATTGTAGGCTCTGTGACCTGTAAACTGCAGGACAGCACTAGGTTTTACTTGTTTTCAATGTACGCTTTACCAAACTTTAATCCTTTTATTATTTAACACACAAAAACTTTTGTGAAAATTTAGATGATATCATGAAACATACTTTATTTTTTTTAATAGTTAACATCTTTTGAGCTTATTCAATGTCATCTTTATCAATCAGCATCAGGTCCTTTACAGAATATTGCTCTCTTCGCAGCATACCTGAAGGTCTCTTCAGCCAGTTCTTCAGTCCTATGTGCTTTAATAACCAGTGCATCTTCAGTGTCTTGTATCCACATTCATGGAGGTCAGTCTCTGCCCTCGTTTTCCAGAAATTGTACCCTCCTGGCCAGCTTGACACTTTAACATGGACCAAAATACCTCAAATTTTAGAATGGGATACTGTTTGTGAGCCAATTTTCCTCAGTGTTCAGATAATGTAGGCTTCTGTATCACAGTCTAAATTTGAATTGATCAGTTACTTGTTTCTTTACTTTGTCCCATTGCTATTGTTTGCCAGCAGGCGTGAATATTGAAAGCCTAAACCTAAACTTGGTTATAGGTTTCATATCCTCACTGAGACTGATTTCTAAAATTCACCTGGACTTCCAGGTCAGCCTATGCCTAAATTTGGTAAAAAATAATGTGGGAAATAAAGACAATCACTGTAATACTGACTACATGCCGTGGATAAATAGTGATCATTGATACACAGTAAAATCTGTCAGTAGTAAAATTAATGTGTTGCTATAGAACTTTACATACAAGAGAAGTAAAGCTCATGGGTAAAGAAAATAGAGGCAGTGATAGACTACCTGTGAATTGTCGATCAAAACATTTACTTTAAAAGTGTTAGACATAGTGTTTTATGAGATCAGTAAAATACAAATCAAGAAAGGGTACATCTACTTCGGCGTTTACCTGAAGATGTAAATGTGTCCATTTATAATATGGCTGCGATATTTGCGCCTTGCGGCTGACTTCTGCAAGCATTTGTTGCCCGGTTAAACTTCCTGGAAGAAGGTACACAACGTAGTATTGCAAAGAAAGTAAGGGTTTACTTTAGTAGTTCTTTTGTTATTTTTTGCATTGTCCGTTGAGTTGAAGTGAAATGCAGAAATGCAAATTTTCATTCTGTTTACAATAGAGCCCAGAGAAGACAGCCAGCCTGCACAGAATTCTGGGGAGCGTTTGAGTTTAAGCATAGAGGAGACAAAGTAAGCATGGTTCTTATGTTTTATTAACCTCAGGTATTTTTAACAGCTTTTAACTGATTAATTATAAAAATGGTTTGCAGCTAACAAGTTTTTATCTATTTTGCTGTACTAGACAAAGAATATTACTTTACGCAAAGGAAGACCAAGAGATATGTTGTCGCTGTTTAGCATCATGGCATAGGATAATATCTTCATCAAAAATGATTGGTAGTATACTGGACAGGCATCATAACCTACTCTTACAACACCTGAACCATTGGCCCCTATATACCCTAAATATGGCAGTAATATCAAGCCTGAGAAGCAGTGTAGTAAATCTATTGTTTACAAAATTAAAATGAAATTGATTGATATTGCAGATGTTTCATGTTTGGAAATTGTAAATGTTTATTTAGTGTTTCTTTAAGAAATGTGTGTCAAAACAATATTGGGACGCATAATGTGATCTGGCAGTTATATTTTTATGATTAGTTTGTTAAAAACAAAACAAAAAACAGTAATGAAAAACACTTTAATAAGTTTTCATGTATTTTTGTCAGATGAGTTCTTTAAGGAATGGTCACAAAAGAAACTTATCAACCTCAAATACTTGAATCACTTTTGAGTTGAAAGGAAAGCTATAAACTAGCAAAAGATAAGGTTAGTTTAGCCCTGTCTTGCTCAGAACAAAGCACAACACTGGAAATGTGATTCATGCAAAAATTATTATTTATTGCTACTTTTCAGCCTGTTGGCTGTACTGACATAGCAGCTGGAAATGCCTACATTTTGCCAGTCGATTCTCAAACTGTCCTGTACTTTAGAGAACTAATTGATTTTGTATTTTCAGTATAACTTTTTGTATATTATTAGTGGAAAGAGTGCTTAGCGAGGATTTGTTTTCATTATACAGTGAATATGTAATGAGATTCATCATATGTTAGGAATTGTGGTTAGGGGTCATAACATAAATAACTTACGTTATGCTGATGACGCCATCTTGATCACGACAATTCAGAAAGAACTACAGGCGTTGATAGATATGGTAGTGATAGAAAGTGATAAAATGGGCCTCAGCTTGAATAATGAAAAAAGAGAAGTGATGGTAATATCTGTGAGAAGTGCCTAAATGTATAATTTAAGTCAAAGGACATTTTAGTATCTAGGCCCATGGAAATCATCCGACGGAGGATATATCACAAAGATACAAAACAGGACGGGCTTAAACTGGTATGCCTCTATAAAATTACATAACAAAGAACAGCCTTTTATCATGTCATGGAAGAGTTTCAGCACACGGACTGATACATACTGTTGAAGATTGCAGATTGTGTAGAGGCATGATTGACTGTGCCAGTAGTCAAGGCACATGATGATAAATGAGTGCTATATTTTTCTGCAGTGTAACATTTTTTTAAATGTCTGTTTCAGTCGTTTGAGAGCTAAACTTGGATTAAAACCATTGGATGGGACTGCAGCTAAAGGTTGGTATTTGTCATTTTAAGAATCTTAAGCACTCATATAACAATCCAAATGTAAAGAAGAGTTAAATTTTAAAAAAAAAGGGTAGGGGAATACAAATTATTGCTAGGCTTGTACTTTTATGAAGTAAACAAAACAGTACTTTTCAGAGTCTGGACAGTAAGAAATGTGGAGCGGTGGAGATTAGTGTATCATTCACTAAGTGCATTAAAAATATATCTTTTTCTGTCATTTATAATATAAATATCTGAATTATATTTACAGCGAGGTTCATATATCAGAAATGCACAAGAAGTTAGAATGGTATGCTGATAGTATTTGTCTTATTTTAAAAATATAATTGTTTTAAAAACTTTCATTTTGTTTTCCTCCTCCTCCTTCAAAAAATCCTTCTTGGCAACAGTACTTTAATAAAGTCAAAGTGGTCCTGTCAACATACAACACTGGAAAAACCCACTAACTTCACCGGGTTATCCCCTCGTTACAGCTGAAAATGTTAAGTAATTTACCTACTTAGTCACTTCTCTTCTACCTTGGGGTGTAGAGGTTTGCCAGAGAGATCGCCAGACTTCTCTGTCAGGAGTTTTATATCTGGCTTTGCTCCATTCCATTGGTCTGTCAGTCAGAGACTGTCAGATGATATCTTCCCAAAGGACCCTGGGTCACCCTGGAGGTCTGGTTCTTAACCTCTCATGCCTGCCATGATGGCCAATTTTCTTCTGTTATGCACACATGTCCAAACCATCATAACTGTGACTGATCCACTAGAGTTTGTAAGGCCGGGATTTCAAGATCTTGACCTATTGTCTGAATGCGAACCTCCGACATCTGTACAGTTCAACAGCAAAGTGAGTTTAGCACACAACAGTCTCATTTCTGAGGCCTGAAGCTGGCTTCTGTTAGCTGTTGTCATTGCCCATGACTCACAACTTAGGTCAGAACTGGAATATAGGTAAAGTGGTAAACAGCCATTTTTGTCCTCATGCTAATTTATCTTTTGCTAAGAAATCCTTGGTTTATGGTCTAGAAAAGTCTCCCAGTAGCTCCTTTTTGAGTAGCCAGCTCTGTCTTAATGCCTCCGTTTCTGTCTGTTACCTGTTACAACTCTAAGGTATTTAAACTGGTTGACCTGTTACAATGCATCCTGTCCCATCATGATTTGGTGTTTCTTCTCCTCTCTTGAGATCACCATGGTTTTTATTTTGGACATACTGATGGTCATCCCTCTCTTGTCAAGCTCTTCCTTCCAGACGGGCAAGTTTGACAGGCCAACTGATTTAGCTACCAGGGCCACATCGTCATAAATGCCAGACCTGATATACAGATTGGGTCTTATCTTCCTGTACCCTACTAAGTACTTGTTAATCTTCTCCTAACAGATCTTGATGACATCATCCATCATTAGAATGAAGAGGTAAGGTGGGAAAATATCACCTTGTCTAACACCGCTAGTGGTTTTTAAATTTTTCTGACTTTTGGTCTGTCATACTTAAATAATTTCTGCAGCTTTTGTAGAAACTCTGTATTGCACTGATCCAGCTGTGGTTCTGCCAGACTTCTAAGTCTCTGCTTAAGAATTCTAGAGTAATTTTTACCAGAAATGCTCAGGAGAGATATGCCTCTGTGGTTTTCATATTGTCTGTTATCACCCTTTTTAATTACAGGTGTAATGATAGCAATCTCCCAGTCTTTTGGTATAGTTTTGATTAGTAATTTCATTTCATTAAATGGGAATTGCAGGTGATGATAGCAAGGGGAAAAAGCAAGATGCTGTCCATGCCCCGCCTGTTAATTTGGCTCAGCAAAGAAAAACTGAAGTCTTAAGAGAGAAGATGGCTACAAAGAAATCACAACGTGAAGTGGAAAAGAGACTTCAGTAAGTTACCCTTGTCAAAATCTTACTATCAACTGTATTTTATCAATGATAAGTAAAATGTTGTAAGATGTCTCAGTTCTGCTGAAATGTCTTTTCTTGACAGCCAAAATTTTATTTGCTGACACTTTGTATGAGCGCATGAGGATATCTTAATATTTGATTAAGGATAATTTGTTTAATCATGACATTAATTTTAATATATTGACAGGTTTTCTGTCTATTTTGATGTTATGCATTATTGTGACAGGAAAAGTATTTTCAGAATTTTAACTAGGGTAAAAATGAACTGGATCTTTGATACTGACCTTTTGCTAGATTCTAAAAGCATGCCCATTCACTGGCTCCTCAGTCGCAGCATTTGCATGCTCATTACTCACCAGCAAAAAACTGCAGTGACTACCTCCACCTCTGTTCTCAAATTGGATGCTGTACTATAATATGCTGGCTTTCTTACATTAAGCACTATTCATTTCTCCCAGTTATAAACACCCATTATGGTTAGGGTTTAACCCTCTCACCCTAGGAACACTGACATAACTGATTCATGATCCTGTTGGCATTGTGGGGGGGGGGGGGGGGGGGGGGGGCCTTCTTTTTCAAAAAGGCAATTTTACCCAGGTCATTAATAAATTCATAAAGAGGGTAATCAGTAAACGGGAACAGGATAGAGAATTAAATGGAATAAATTTCCTGAGGTCTTTAAAAACCATATGTATTGGGTGACACATGACATGATCCCGTGGTCTTTATCACGGAGGCTTATGGGAAACTTGGACGTCAACTTGTCTTTAAAAAAGCTATTTGACCCACCGGAAAGCCCTCCTAAATGCTATTTTTAGTTAATGTATTCATATCCTGACCTCCTAAATGTTTGCATGTTCATGAAAATAGCCAGTAGCATTAACTATGCATCTTGTAAGCAGCAGCTTACTTTAGAAAGGTAGGAAAAGTGACGTTTACAGGGAATTGAACCCAACCGGCTTCTTGTGGCGAATGAGTTGAGTTGAATCAAGAATAGACATCACAGCACTCAGGACATTTCCATGTGTACTCCATCCCCACCTTCAGCAGCCAACACAGAGTTTCAATACTGATGGTACCCGTCACAATCTGGTTATATGTCCATTTTGCCTTTCCTCTGAGTGTAGTGAGCCAGCCAGATGCTCTGGTTACACCCAGGTGCCCCATTCTCTCCAGGCCATAATAATCTTGTTTCTCTCTGATTCAGTTGCTTGTTCCCAAAGGCCTTGACCACATCTGCCTTGTCATGTATAAATTTACCAATTGTGGCGAAAGTGTTGACTCACATTTCCTATGTTTGAAGAGCACATTATTTATGTCTTTATATTAAAATATTTACATGTCATTTTAACTTACTTAGATTTATTCTCTGGTATCCATTTTATGATACTGAGCCAGCCCCTGCCCCAGCAAAACAGCATAACTTTTTCAAACAACGTTCTCACCAGCCTGTCTGAAAGATTGGGTTGTTCCAGTTCTCTTACTTCTCTTGTTATCTTAACAGGTATTGTATCGTATAAAATCAAACAAAAAATTCCAAGCTTAGTCCTTTTTTAGCCGCCTAATGGCCTGCTTTTTCAAGGACGGTTCCTTTGCTATCTTATTTTATTTATCTTCCTTTGTGGTGAGTAATTTCACCACGTCTTAACAGGCTCTTGAATTATCTTCAAATACCAGTCTTTCCATTATTGCTTGTCTAAGATTTTTGCTGTTCGAAGTTGTCAAAGATACTTCAGTTTTTAAAACATTAATTTTTCTTTTTCTTGTTAATGTTCAAATAGATTAATCAACACTTTCAGTAAACCATTGCACAACCATTCTTTTTCTTGTAGCCCATGCCATATAGCACTATTAGCCATGTCTTTCCACAGCCTTCTGTCTTGTGTATTTTTAAAGCATTTCTGACACAAATGATCTCCATACCATGATGTCACACTGTCCGGGATCTCTTGGTCTCCCGCTGTCTCTCTCCCAGTCCAACTTTCCCCATTGTCATGATGTACTTGGGTTTCCTCTTTTTTGTGACATGGCCAGATTATGTAGATTGTCTTCTTTTGATGTAGGTATTCAGTTTTTTCATGAGTTATATTCTTTCAAGACAGCTTTGTTACACTTTTTGTGTGTTTCATTGTGTTCTCATTCGTCTGTAATCCCTATATGGGTTCCAGGGCTGCATTTAGGAGAACAAAGAATAGACCAACAGGCATATCGTAGGAGCGGCTAATTAGGTGTCAGAGTGCATCTGCCCAAGAGGGAGGGAACCAATAGTTTGCCTACAGATAAGCCAGATCTGTAAAATTGATATGCACGTAAAACTTGTGTTTTGAATCAAGATCAGAGTCCAAAAGTGGACGAACAACCAGAACTTAAGAATTCATCTATAAAACAGCATCTCTGCTGCTAACATATAGTTTTCCACTAATCGCTGACTGTCCTTGATTCATTTCCATACAACAGGACTGACATTACCGAGCTCTAAAGAACTTTGTTTCTCACCTCTTACTTTGGTTTGTGAAATGTTGCTTTGGCTGTACAGCCATTATGCTGCCACAGTTTAGGCATGTTTATTGTTAATCAGTAAATAAAAAGACAGATTGCTAACTAAACCCATGTATTTTCATTTTTCTAGAAGAATCAAAGGTCTTGGAGAAAGTGAGTCTGATGATGAGGGTGCAGCTGCTTGGGTCAGTAAAAACAGACAGTTGCAAGCACAGAGGGAACTTGCAGAGAAGACGGTAGCTATTTTTTTTTTGGGCCACATAATAGTGTCAATTATTTGGGTGTTGTCCAAAGTTGTATGTTTATTGTTAAAAGTTTTATATTTATTGTCAAAAGTTGTATGTTTATTGTCAAAAGTTGTATGTTTATTGTCAAAAGTTGTATGTTTATTGTCAAAAGTTTTTTTAAATTTTTTTAAATAACACAATTTTACATTGATATGAACGCCCTATGTGGGTTCTGGAGCCCCATTCTGGAGGGGGGAAATATAGACCCACTGCCCCTCTAACAAACAGTCGTAACAGTCAATTAATTATTGGTGTTTCCTTCAAAGTTGGAATGCATCTGCCTAAGGCAAGGAATTAGCTGCCTGCATGCAAACAAGCCGGATCTATAAAATAGATGTGCGTGCAAAACTCAGGCTCGCGAACAAGACTAAAAGTCTAGAAGAGGGCGACAACCTTAACTTTGCCCTGGAGTTTAGAGCTGATGAACGGGAATAAGAAGATTGATGTAAATTGCTTATAAAAGCATTTTACTTATGAATTTGTGGGCTTGCATAATTATTTATTAAATTTAAAAAAAAAATACCTTTCACAACAGGCATATCAAAAAGATTATGTTAATACTTCATAAAAAACATTGAAATTTCAGTTTAAAAACAGAAATATTTTAGTATAATTAAACTGGTTTAATTAAAGATCAAGAACAAATACCACGGGATTTGAGAAGTAAATAATAGGAGAGGGTCCTTTTTGTGTTGTTGACACACTGGACATATACTTTTGTAGACCAGTCCTTGATGTTGTTAGAGTCACAATGGCCACCTTACCCACCAGGACATTACCTTTTCTGCCTTTCAGCGTCAGGTTTTAAAGAGGTGTCAGGTGTGAGCCTTGATATGTGCTACATCAATGCTGGTGTTCACAGCTTTGGATATTCTGTCTAACCATCGCTTGCATGGTTGTCTTCAAGCTCTTTTTCTGTGTGTCTGAGTGACAGTGCTCTTTGTGATGCCCAGAATTACAGTCCTTCGCAGTCTGTAGGGAAAGTCAAAATCATGTTTTTATGTCCATATCAAATGTATAATTACGTCCATAGCAGCGAAAGGGCTAACTCTTGCAGTCATAATAAGTGCGTGATGTGTGATCTGTTATTTTAAAATTCAACAGAGGATGTTTTATAATCTAGCTTGTTTGTTTTCAGGCAAAGATGTTGGAGGAAATGGATGAGGACTTTGGCATCAAAGGTCTTGTGGAGCAAGAATTTAAGAAAGATGAAAAGGTAAGATTTGTTTGTATTACACATTGGGTCATTTAATTTTCCGAAGTGCATATGATTTTAGCTTTAAGTTGATTTAGCTGAAGTTAGTGAAGTGTTTCTTTCTGTTGCTTGTTTGGCAAAAAGAAACTATAAAGGAGCTTGCAGGAATGAAAAAGAGTAGTTGGGTAAATATGAAAAAACAATTAATTCCATGACCTTAGTCACTGTTATATGAATGTTGAAGGAATGTATATTTTTGTTATTACTTAGCCTTTGTATTTATGTTACTTAGCATGCATTCCTATTTGTGTTACTTAGCATTTGTATTTGTGTTACTTAGCTAAGTATTAAGTATATTGCAAAATATAACCATTGACTGGCTGGAGAACACACTGTTGGAAGATATGGAACAAAAGTTAAATGCAACCAAAAACAAATGTCTGAGGCAAATAATGAAAATCAAAAGGAGTTAAGAAATAGGATAAATGTCTGGGCAGCCACTAGTATGCGCAGTTATAAGACAGAACAGATGGCGCTACATTGGACACCTCCTGAAAAGAAACCAACAGAGAATCACCAAACAGGTGTTAACATAGGGAAAAGGGGATTAAGGAGGCAAGAATGCTTAAGAGAAACCTTGAGACAAATGTTGATGAGAGGCCAAAGCTGCTGGACAGGATTCCACCCATGATATTGAACTGATTGCACATGATAGAACCGAATTGTGGAATAGACTGTGAGCCCTATGTGACATATAATGTCACAACAGGATAATAAATGAATGAATATTGCTAAATGAACTTAACCTGCATTGTACATACAATAAAACTGGTGTTTAAAAGTTGATTTGTTAAAAGGCTCTATAAAAGATTGGCCTGAGTGCCCAAGAAGTAACCTTTTGAAAATAAAGTTTGTTCATTTATTTGTTCTCTATATATTTGTATAAAATCTTTCTACTTAAGAAGGAGTTTTTAAATGTGCGTGTAAAACTCAAAATCCAGAAGTGGACAAACTGCCTCCGGAATTTACAGCCGACGAACACTAAGAAAAAGAAGAAAAGGAGTTTGTATTGAAGAACATTTTAATGTATTCTGTTCTATTGTTCTACTTCTCAGATCACAATTACTATATATTTGTATAAAATCTTTCTACTTAAGAAGGAGTTTTTAAATGTGCGTGTAAAACTCAAAATCCAGAAGTGGACAAACTGCCTCCGGAATTTACAGCCGACGAACACTAAGAAAAAGAAGAAAAGGAGTTTGTATTGAAGAACATTTTAATGTATTCTGTTCTATTGTTCTACTTCTCAGATCACAATTACTATATATTTGTATAAAATCTTTCTACTTAAGAAGGAGTTTTTAAATGTGCGTGTAAAACTCAAAATCCAGAAGTGGACAAACTGCCTCCGGAATTTACAGCCGACGAACACTAAGAAAAAGAAGAAAAGGAGTTTGTATTGAAGAACATTTTAATGTATTCTGTTCTATTGTTCTACTTCTCAGATCACAATTACTATATATTTGTATAAAATCTTTCTACTTAAGAAGGAGTTTTTAAATGTGCGTGCAAAACTCAAAATCCAGAAGTGGACAAACTGCCTCCGGAATTTACAGCCGACGAACACTAAGAAAAAGAAGAAAAGGAGTTTGTATTGAAGAACATTTTAATGTATTCTGTTCTATTGTTCTACTTCTCAGATCACAATGACTAATTTATCTCTGTTACAGAAACACAACTACAGTTCCTATGACTTAAGAGGACTGACGGTTGAACATGGTCTGGAAAAGTTTTCTGAAGGCAGAGATGTCATTTTGACTATTAAAGACAAAGGTATACAGTTGTTTTTAGATGAATATAATTGATTGTATGTTTTGCCTTGCCTGCTGCAAGCTACCTATCTCTTCCAGAGACTATTCTTTCTCCCTTTATCCCACTTCGGAGATCCATATTTTTTTTTTTTAAGGTCCTCTGCTATCTCTTTTGCCCTGTGAATTTCAACGGCGGGACATGATATTTGTATTCTTATCATGCTTTCCCTGTGTGTGAACTATTTATCTTTTCTTCACCTTATATTTTCATTGGAATTTGTTTAGTTTTCACCCTGAGCTTCATATTAGATATTGTGTCACACTGTTTATTATTTCTGTTCCACCAAGGCAAGTGTTGTTTTAAAATAACAGTTGAGTGAGTAGGATTTCAACTACAATAAAACCTGGTAACATAAACTCGTTTAAGAAGTACACTTGATTGATATGAATACAGCTTTAGTTCCAGCTGGGATGTATCATTGCTATTATTTAGTCCCCAGTAAGCACAACTTAAAAAAGAAATAAGAGCTTGATTTTCAGTCCCTTGGAATTAGTGTTCTTCTTCTTCAGCCCTTTGTCTCCCAGTGGAGCATAGGCTCTCAACAAACTCACACCAAGTGATTCTATCCTTTGCTATGGGATGCAGCACCTCCCATGTCCTCACATCTTTTTAACTTCATTCTCTGTCTTCCTTCTTCATGATTTTGGTTTTTGTGGGTCTGCCTTTATTTCTGTGTCACAAGGTTCTAACACTCCAGAAGTCAATTCTGAAGATTTTCCTAGGCTTTCTCCACACTGCATCCTCACTCTTTGATTAGAAGAGCCTTCCTCCCACTATCATAGTTGGCTGCTTATTGCTGGTTTCTCTTTTAGACTTTTCCAAGGTTGGTTGATTTTTGAGTCAATATTTTTTAAACAGAATGGCGTAGCCAACCTGGGGTCCAAATGGAGTAATGATGCGCAATACAAGACTCTTAATGTCTATTAGCCTCTCTTGCTCAAGCCTACCTCACCTTCACGTGGTGGACCCTGTTCTTCCCAGCAATCCAGTTGAAGGTTGGGGTCTTAACCCCCAGCGGGAAACTGGATGGGACAACAAACGAGGTAAAGGCGAAGGGATGAGCCTACTCTCCCTCTCAAGAGATCCTGAAGTCGGAAATACTGGGCCAGAAAGCGGATAAAAAACCACAGTACTACGCAACCCCACGCTATATATATATGATTACACCGTCAGACAAATTTAATATTGGTGCTCGCCCTGTGGAGCTCCACCAGGCAGGTGCAGTGCCGGGTTCTGAGCCTCGACAGAATCCACCCCCAGCTACTGGAGGTCCTCCTAGACCGTCTTGTGGAGTCAGGAGACGGCGGAGGATAGCTACTGACCAAAACCAGTTAGACAAAAAAAGATCCCAAATTGCCTTTTGCCATAATGCACTGGAATGCAGAGGGGGTCAACAGTAAGCAGGCTGGCTACAGCAAAAAGTTATCGCCTGCCTTGTCTGTCAGATCTGAAGCACTGGTAGCCTCTCACTTTAAATATCTGATCTGCCTGCAAATGGGTCTCTTGGATGCAGCATACACTGACATGCTTTTCATAGAGGATGTTTTCCAGCTCCAGAGTACTCACCCTTGTGAAAAACAGTATCCATCCATGCGAGAAAATGTCTTATATGGATGGAGCTGAGTACCAACTCCTGCAGCTTAAGACAGACAAAGTGGAATTAGACCTCCTTAATTACTACTGTCCCAATGACAAATCGCTAAACCTCAGCTCTGTGCCAGTACCAAATACCAACTTTATTGCAGTTGGAGACTTCAACAGTCATTCACAGAGCTGGGGCTATAACCATCTCGACAATAGGGGTGAAGAGGTGGAAACATGGCAAGATGACCACTCTCTGATCCTGATCAATGCCCCCTCAGATTCTCCTACCTTCTACTCCAGAAGGTGGCAGACAACGTCAACCCCAGATCTTGCCTTCTCTACCCCAGATATATCTGGAATGATAAGTAGAGAGGTGGGAGACCAGCTGGGGGGCAGTGACCATCGCCCGATTTTTCTCACTGTCCAGAATGTACCAGTTAATACAGGCCCAGTTATCACAAGATGGAACTACAAGAAAGCCAACTGGGGCCTGTACAGACACAGGACAAGCACATTGTTGTCTGCACTCAAGGTACAAAATAGGGATATCAATGCTATAGTGCACGATTTCAATAGAAGTATTCTACAAGCTGCGAAAGAAGCAATCCCCAGAGGCTGTCGACACAACTATAGACCTTACTGGTCCAGCACACTCCAGGAATGCCAGAAAACAATGAATCAGGCTAGAAAGGATGCAGAATCCCAACCTTCACCTGACAACCACATCAAATGGAAAAAGGCTGTAGCAGTGTTCCAGAGAACTAAACTTGAAGAAAAACGGAAAAGCTGGAGAAATAAAACAGCAGCTTTAAACCTTGATAAAGATGGCAAGAAACTCTGGAGATTAGCCAAATCACTCAATGAAGAGAGTTTTTCTCCTAGACAAACAATCACGCTAAGTGATGGTGACAAAATCTTCAGAGGAAAACAAGCTGCAGATTTGTTTGCCAGAACATATAGTGTTGAAAGTAACCTGACCCTTAATGAGGACCATCAGAGAGAAATAAGGAAAGAAATACAAACAAATGAGAGACAGACAGATACTCCTGCCTCTATGAGGGAGCCATTTACCATGGGCGAACTACAAAATGCCATCTTTAGGCTTAAGTTAAAAAAGTCTGCAGGTCCAGATGAAATCAGCAACGAAATGCTAATCAACCTGACCTCATCTGCTAAAGTAAAGCTGCTGGAAATTTTCAACATCAGCTGGGAGAAAGGTTTGGTGCCTCAAGTATGGAGAGAAGCCATCACAATACCTATTTAAAAAAAAGGAAAAATTAAGACACAGGCTTCGAGCTATCGCCCAATTTGTCTCACGAGCTGTGTAGGAAAGACATAGGAAAGAATTGTAAATTCAAGACTGAAATGGCACTTAGAATCGGAGTAGATCTTGGTGCCAGAGCAGGCTGGGTTTAGGGAATGTCACAGCATTGAAGACCAAGTCACCTACCTGTCACAAGCTGTAGAGGATGCCTTCCAAGATCAGAAAAAGGTTCTGGCAGTATGGGTTGACTTCAAACAAGCTTTTGACAAAGTCTGGAAAGATGGTCTCATTGCAAAACTGAAGAGAAATGGAATCCAAGGAAACATGCTAAAATGGATCCAATCCTTCTTACACAGCAGGAGAACTAAAGTCAGTCTTGATGACCAGCAGATGAGAAAAGTATTACTTCGGCAAAGAGTACCACAGGGAGGAGTTATCTCTCCAACTCTCTTTCTTGTGTATATAAATGATCTGGTGAAAGACCTCCCTACGGGAGTAAAAGCTGCCCTGTATGCAGATGATCTGGCACTTTGGTGTACCGATGAACACACCACAGTGGCAAATATAAGAATGCAGCAGATCTCTTGATGACATGGGCAGAAAAATGGCATGTTGCCATCAACACAGACAAAACATCTACAACACTTTTCTCTCTTTCACCCAGGGACAAAGCTGCTAGTATTCACCTAGGAACATCATTGCTAAAGGAAGAAAGCTTCCCCACTTATCTTGGAGTAACATTTGATAAAAGGCTCACATGGAGCAAACATATAGAAAATGTAGAAGGGAAGGCCAGGAGACGACTAGGCCTACTTAGAAAACTGGCAGGTACAGGATGGGAAAATGGAAAATCCCTAAAGAAAGTTTATAATGGAGCGATAAGACCCCACTTGGAGTTTGGTGCAACAGCATGGTCAACAGCTGCTAATTCCCATCTACAATCGTTAGACAGAGTGCAAAATCAAGCTCTTAGACTCATCACAGGATCCATGAAAACTGCACCAATACTGAAGATGCAGAAAATAACTGCAATGCAGACACTGTCCTATAGAAGAGACACTAAAACTATGACCCAGATGGAGAAGTTTAATAGTATGCAGTCACACCCAATGAATGAAAGGTTAGATGATCTGGCATTAGGGCGTCTCAAACGTAGCAGCTTTGTCCATCGGGGGAAAAGACTTAGAAGACAGTATCAAGCTGATCTACCTATTAGAACAACACCGCTGAAACCTACCCTGTACCCTGTACCTTGGGAGCAAGTCAGTGACACAATACAGATAATGACTTCAGTCAGTGGATTCACAACTGGAGATGAGTCCAATGATCTTCAAAAACGAACAGCTGCTCTTAGCATGATTCATGAAAACTATCCCGAACAGTCATGGATACATGTTTACACAGATGGATCAGCAACCAGTGCGGTTAAAAATGGGGGTGCTGGAGTCTTTATTACATACCCAGGCAACCACCGCCACACAAAGTGGATACCCACTGGTAAATTCTGTTCCAACTACACAGCAGAGATTGTAGCACTAGAGCAGGCTGCCGAAATGTTACACAACACCAGTTCTGACTGCCACCAAGTGGTTATATTCACAGATGCGCTTTCAGTGCTTCAAGCCCTTAAGAGTGGCAAACTCCCTCACTTGAGATATGAACTTGGCAAGGTGGCTGCCCAAAAGTGTACTGTACTCCAGTGGGTGCCATCCCACTGTGGTATACCAGCAAACGAAACCGCAGATAAACTTGCTAAAAAAAGGGGCAGAATGTGACCAGGAAGAGAATGCAGTAACATACTATGAGAATGAAAGGGCCATCCAGGCTATTAGAAGTGAACAGAGTCTGGCCAAAGATGACTACCACTTACTTGACCGTCATGGGCAGGTCATTGTCCTACGTCTCAGGACAGGACATAACAAACTTAACCAGCATATGCACAGGCTTCGTCTAAGTAGTTCACCTTTTTGACCTTGTGGGCTACGTGTGCAGACTACAGAACATGTCCTGTTCAGCCCATTAAGAAAGGAATACTGGCCCAGTGAGTCATCACTGTACACAAAGTTGTATGGGACTAAAAATGAACTCATAAAAACGGTCAAGTTTATCACAAGAACCTGTCTGTCGGTGTAAATCAGAAAGCGAACACAAGAAGAAGAAGGTAGCCAACCTCATTTTTCTTTATCATGGAAACCCCTATAATAAGGGCAATAACTGGATGAAGCAGCTGTATTGCATATTGGAAGAGTAATGAGGGACCTGGAGCTGCAGTATCATAGCGACTGGATGCTTTCCTGTTAGCCCAAAGGTTCTAAGTTCTAATCCACATTAAGTCGAGATTTTTTTTAAAATGACCTGACGGCCAGATCAACTCAACCTATAATGGTTACTAGGTAAAGTCCTTGGAAGTAAAGGTGGTTGGCCTGATCTTGACCACATCACCTATGAATGTTTGGTTTAGAGAAATTTGATCCTAGCATTATATGCCCATTACGTTACTGGCGTAAAAAGGGTCCTTACATTTTTTTTCTAATTTTTAATAAGCAACCTAATATTATTTTGTAGTAGAATACCAGCTATTTGACAGTCTGGTCAGTGCTTTCCCACCCAAGATTGTTCAAAAATATTACATATTATATATTAATTTGTTTTTCAAATATTCAAATAGGTGTTCTTGATGAAGATGAAAGTGATGTACTGGTAAATGTCAACATAGAAGATGATGAAAGAGCAGAAAAGAATGTAGATAACAAGAAGAAAAAGGTAGACTACAAACCATACGATGAACCTCAGTTTGATGAATATGGAATGGTAAGTCAGCATGAAATGTGATTTTTTCATGTACATTATTCATTATTATGAAGTATAATACTAAAGAGGGTAGATTTCATAAGGTGGGTACTAGACATTGATGCATTGGCTATGAAAGCACATAGGGCTGGAGAGTTGGCTAGAGAAAGAGAGGCTTACAGGCGTGTCAGAGGAGAGTGACATTCTATAAGGACCTGTTGTTTGATGATGATCATGCCAAACCTTGTGGGCAGTCATTTTACATCAATTTCCTGTCATTATATGTCATTTTATATACTGACATTACATGCTGTGGTTTAAGGTAATCCAGAATCTTCTCCCGCTATCGTCTCTCTTTTTCTTTTGCCAGTTATGGTTATTACTTGTTTTCTCTTATTATATGGCTTCAAATGGTAACTGTTTCTTTCTGACATATGAGATAACATTTAGTTTGTGAACTGTTTCTTTCTGACATATGTGATAACATTTAGTTTGTGAACTGTTTCTTTCTGACATATGTACTAACGTTTGATTTGTGTCTTGGCCTCTCTGAACATTTTCCTACTGGGCATTGTGTTGAAGAAAACATTACCAACTTAACCTTTTTGCCCCAGTAATGGTCATGACCAATGGTCACTTTGATGTCAGCATGCCCCTCCACCCCAAAAAAAAACAGGACGCAAATTCCCCAACTGCTATTTTTTTTGTTAATATATACACATCCTGGCCCCATACTAATAGAATTAATTATACATCTGATAAACAGGTCAGTATAAAGTTAGTTGCATATCCTTTACAAGACTATAAAACATGTACATCCCTCTAGCACAGTGTATTTATTACCAATCTCTAAAAGACTGAAACAAGGGTAGATTAAAAATTGTGTCATCGTGCGAGGCCCCACTGTTATTCATAAAATAAAAGGACAACAAAGGTGGCGATTATTCCTGTGTTACAAAAAAAAAAAACATGTACATCCCTCTAGCACAGTGTATTTATTACCAATCTCTAAAAGACTGAAACAAGGGTAGATTAAAAATTGTGTCATCGTGCGAGGCCCCACTGTTATTCATAAAATAAAAGGACAACAAAGGTGGCGATTATTCCTGTGTTACAAATTTTTGCTTTTCCTACAAGTCTGGGCCGTGTGACGTTGGTAGTAATGTTTATCCACAACCTTCTGTCTCGTGTACTTTCAAACAACTCTGACACTGATGATCTCTTTGCCTTGATGTCAAACTGTCCAGCATATTTCTCAGTCTCCCTCTGCCTCTTTTGCCCTCCAACTTTCCCAGTGTCCCGATATACTCCAGTTTTCTCCTTCTCATGACATGAAAGAGAATTTATTGTCTCCTTCTGATGTGGGCAATGAGTTCTCTTCATGAATCAGTTTCTTCCAAGACATCTTCATTATTCTTTTTATCATGAAATTCTCATTTCGAGGATAATTTGAATATATCACTATTGGCCCAAGGACAAGCCATGGTGCTATCATGCATTCTCTACAAAAATAGGCCAGAAGAAAGATATTTTACAGATATACGTAGAGAGGACAATCACTGTTTTTACATTATATTTCATAGTTTAGAAAAAAAAATCACTTCTTAGTCTTTCATAATCATTGAAACATTTGCTAACGTTGATAACATGAAATATTTAGAAAAAAAATCACTTCTTAGTCTTTCATAATCATTGAAACATTTGCTAACGTTGATAACATTGTTTCAAATTGCAGATGAAGCCTGCCGCTATGTTGTCAAAATATGATGAAGAAATTGATGGTGTCAAAAAGGAATCATTCACATTGGGTATGAAGAGTAGCAAATTTGTATTTCTAGAATGTTGTGTTTGTAACAGATATAATCTTCATCTGTAAAAACAACAAATAATAAAAGTAAAAAGCCGAACACATTGGGGGGGGGGGGGGGGGGGTGTGTTTTCTTAAATTTATTTTTTATTATATAACTTAAAAATTTACAGCAAGTTTAACAACTATTTTATCAACTTTCACATTAACTCAGATTTTGGCTTTATCATTTAACAATTGATTATGGGATCTGAAAGTATATTTACTACCATTTGTACAGTTATTTCTTTTCACTAATTTCTTTGTTTATATAAATTGTCCCAGTAATAATTAATTTGGTATGCGTTGGATTAATAATTTTGCTTTGAGATATATTTTTGTTTGGAATGACATTTGAGAAACTATAAAGTTAACATCAGTGCAGTGAATCTCCAGGTTCTGTTTGCTTTGGATACATATAAAAAAAAACTCTTTCAGTCCTGCTCATAATATCTTTCCATTTGTAATGTTCTTGTCCTTTTACACACGTTTTCTCCAGACTATTTTATAGCATGGTGTGTTATGTGTTGAAAAGAGTGACTTGGATTAAAGTGAGGAAGAGTTGCGCAGCATCGTCAACCTCACTCTTTTGCCTAAGTCGTATATGGGTCCAGTGGCAAGACAGAGGACAACTGGAGATATGTCTAGGTGCAGTGGATGACCAGGGCGTTCTGCGTGCCTCGTCATGCTCTATGCGCTCCACAGCGCTTTGCTAGTGTTGCTGTCTTGCCCGTGGAACCAAGTATGGTTTCCTCCGCGCATTCTGCGGACAGTAGTCTTTGCATGCTTGGATAGGCAGATCCTAACTCACCTATGGAAAGGAGCATCAGCTACCCTAACCTGGTTTTGCCAGCCTGTCAAAGCCATTGCCCGGGGGATGGCGGCTGTTGCATGCTAACAGCTACATGGAGCCACAGGTGAGAGCTGAGTGTCAGTTTTGGACCAAAGGTTATCAAGCTGTCCTAAAAAAGACATGACAGATGGTGTGTTATAGTTTGAGAACAACACACGATGGCAGGAAAACAATTTTGTGTGATATAACCTAGTGTAATCATTGCATTCATTCTAACATTTTTTTCGGTTTGAACATTTGCCTGTGAAAGTTGGAGAACCACTAAATAGAGGGGATGAATGTTAAATTAATTGGAAAATAAATGCCTGATGAAAATGTTGAACATATTAATTCAAAGAGAAAATAAGAGAAATGTCCTTGGCAACCACTGGTATCAACATTTAAAAAACAGTGATAGTGGCGCTGTATTGGACACACCCTGAAAAAAAAAAACAAGCAGAGAAGTGCTAAACAAGCTCTAAAATGGAGGGGAAAAGCCCTGAAGAAACCATAAAATTAATGATGTTTAGAGAGGCCAGCGACTCTAGGCTGGATTCCATCCATGATATTGAATTGATTACAGGAGATAGAACGGAATTGAGGAATAGATTGCGAGCCACATGGGGCATATAATGGCACAACAGGACAATAAATGATGAATTCTGGCGGACAAAGAATAGACCTGTTTTTCCTATCAAGCATGTCACAGAAGGCGACTAATTAGATGTTTCCTTCAAAGTGCATCTGCCAGAGATGCAAGGAACCGACAGTCTGCATAAAAAAAAACAGCCAGATCTGTAAAATTAGTAACATGGAAAACTCAAGTTCTGGATCAAGATCAAAGTCCAGGAGTGGACAAGCACCCCAAACTTTCTGCCAGTGTTTACACGCTAAGAAAAAGTTGTAACATGACATTATGTCACAGTTATATTATGATTTTTGTATTATAATATTTATTTATGTAATAATATATAGCCAAAAAGTAGTTGAAATACCGAAGATATGAACATTTAATCTTACAGGCTAAAATGTTGGCTTCATTTACTTTGAGAGGCGACACCACAGTATCACTGTGTAACATGATATTGCTGTGTTTTTTTAAAAGGTTCTGGTGGTGTCTACGATGCTGCGCATGAAAAGCGAATGATTGAAATTAGGCAGCAGTTGAGAGCACAAGGAGTAAGTCATTGGTTGTTAACTCATTCTGTTTGAAATTATACTAAAAACAACAGACACAAAAACATCATCATGAACCATGCACTTGCCCTGGTAAAACAGGTGGTTAATTTTGAGTGTAGTTGATCTTGTGTCTCAGTTGTAAATTAGTAATTTTTTCCCTTAATTTTATTATGTACCGCAGTGTGCAACTAGGGCAGGAATTGATAGATAAGGTGGTGGTAGAAATAGATTAAATGAACCTCAGCTTGAATAATGGAAAGACAGAAGTGATGCTAATATCAAAGAAAAGAATATTTCCTAGATGTGTAATAAAACTCAAGGGTGTTATAGGATTAGTACAGAAATTTAAGTGTCTTTAGACATAGATAACATCCGACGGAAGAAGATCATAGAAATAAAGAACCGAATTAAGAGAGACTGCATTTTATAAAATGTAATAATATAATAATAAATAAAGATAATAGAATATCCACATCACCACTGACTCAGTTCCAGTTTATTGTTGCTTTATTGGTAGACTGGTCATTTGGTATGGGATAAGTCAAAGTGACTTTTATAGTAGCGGGAATATATAGTCAGTTTCATGTCTTGCTCTCATTGACCATTTTACCCCAGGAAACTGTGACTTGGTGCTTCCGTTGGGGCTCAATTCTTTATAAATGCAGCAAAAGGTTTCACATTATTTTTCTCTGTGCTATAGTACCTGTTGAGCGACTTTAGTTTGATTATTCTACATGTTGTTACTCATATCCAGTTGCTCTATGCTATGATGCGAGTCTATGACTTTTTTTTTCAACTATAACCTAATGTCTATCAAACTGTGCATCGGTTTTACCCATTCTTTTCATTTATCCAGAGTGTAGACTGTCTACTTTAATATGAGTTATCAGTTTCTTGCAGTCTGTTTCATTACTCTTTTTCATCTGTCCATGGTGTTCACTGAATTCTTCTTTAGAAAATCCTTCTCTGTATCTCCCAAACAACACATGAATTCTTGTGTATTCTAATATCTTTGCCAATGCAATTTAATTTTAATCTTGTGTTATTATGCTTCCAATATTGAGCAAAGACTACTTCTACCGACTGGTCCTTTCTCCCACTGAATATACTCTGGCCATCCCTCATGCACATTATTTTTTGTATGTACAAGAGACACTTCCTGTTTAGCAGTGAGATATCTACTTGACTTTCTAACCATGAACCAAAGGATAAGGATCTGGAGGGCTCGAGCAAATCTTGAAATATGCTCTGATACAAAACAACCACTGCATCGAGTGCTTTTCAGTGAAAAGGGTGACAGGTTGAAAGGGGCAAAATCATGACTAGGTCAGGCAGAAGATGTTATCAAGCAAACATACCCCTGCCTCGTCCGTTTTTTTGTACATTTTCCTGTAATGCCACACTTGGCAGGTGATGCAGGAAGCACAGTCCTGTTGCTGTCAGTGCAGAGGTCAACGCTCTCATTAGTGAAAATTCAGACGAGGCAGATATACTGATCTAAACAGACTGATCTGTTATTTGCCAACAAAGAAGCACATGGGCAGAATAGTCAAAGAAGCCAATGGTGCCTTCTCCGTGACAACCAGCAGCATTATAATGAAGGTGATGTCAGTAACGCAAGCGCTAGCTTGGCTGGAAAAATCTACACCCGCACGTGTGTACTCAGTGATTCAGTGAGTATGATAAAAATCTACACCCGCACGTGTGTACTCAGTGATTCAGTGAGTATGATCTGGAGAGTTCGGACAGGTTCGGTGCAAAGGCAATGGCTTGAATCATTACAGAAATCCACTTTGCGTGGAGTCACCTTTATTTTCATTGCAGGACACGTTGACATCGGTGGAAATGAAAGGGCTTCTAGGTTGACTGGATCCGCTATCACTACCGACAGTCAGCCTATGGATCAATTGATATTATTAATACCCTCCAAGAAATAGGAAGGGTGGAGGACTTTGGGAGCAGTGAGTCATTATCACTCGCCAGAATGATAGACTTGGGAGTTTAGGTTCGCCTAGAAAAACATTTGACACACAACGCACATCTGTTGAACTTGTTAATCAACAAAGAACTGGTACTGTTGGCCACCGGACGCTGGGGCTCATACTGAGGGGAGGATCTGAGCACCTGTGGACATGTCCCGAGTGCGATGATGATAACCCAACTAACGAACTATTATTGTAGATTTCAGAAACAATCAGAAACAATGTACAATCTGTTATTTTTTCTTTGGCTGCTTAAAACATAATCATCATCACCTTTATAATTATCTTCATCCATTTTATAATTATTTGTTTTGCTTTATTTTGCAGCAAACACTGGATACTCCAGGTCTAACACTTGCTACAGAATACATGACCAAAGAGGAGATGGTAGGTTATCTTATTTTAAAATAATTTTGTTTTGGTACTTAGAAAAGCAAAATGACCTTGGCTGCTAGGTCAATCCAGTCTTGATTGGGTTCTAGGTTAGGTCCTGGGAAGTGAAGGCAGCTGGCAGGATGCTGACCACATCACTCACATGTGCTGATTGCTCTATAAAATATAGGTCAAACACCATATGCCCAATATGGTTGAAGGTGTGGACAAGGATCCTTTTACTTACAAAAGCACATTATAAATTAGTTAGGTGTTCACAAAATATTCACCTGCAAGTCTTCAAATAAACAGTGTGTCATAAATAGTGTGTCTAGTAATTGACAATAATAAATTAGTGTTTAATATGTGCTTTATTTTTAAGACAACTTATCACAGGCATCAGGAGACGGTCATCATTTTTCTGCCATGTTATGAGAAAAGTTAAAATTGAATATGGGGTGACCACTGGAAAGATCTGTGGAAGGAGGGATAGAGAAAGACAGCGAGAGAAGATGCTTGACAGTCTTGTTGCATGGCATGAAGGTGTGTCAGCACACGAACTGATACATGCTGCAGGAGATCGCAGATTGTGGAGAGGCATGGTTGCCCACGCAAGTCGGCAGGGCATTTAATGATGATGTGCTTTATATACCGATTAATGAATGAAATATAATATTTATAATATAATGACAACTTATGCATTATTATTTGCATTCAAAAAAGTTTTTATACAGCTTTCTTTCTGCCATCTTTGAGAGCTCACATTGTAGGTATTTTCTATCAGCCCCTATCAGTTAGTTAGTCTTTCCTCTTGAGCCTAAGGCGGCGCATAGGGCAGAGATCAAAGCTCTCTGTGTCTGGTGGTTCGTTGCCACTTGTTTTAGGTCTTCAAAATTCATTAGGCCCATTGTTGAGCCTTCCCTGATGATGTTTCTACGTAGGGTCTCTCTTTGTCTTCACTGTTTTCTTTTCCCTTTCAGTGTGCATCATAACATTTCAAGCTAGAAATCTGGTTCTAAAACAAAGGATGTTTTATGATGGTGACTCATCAGGACATCGTTCAACAGTCTTAAGCCAAACTAAAGGGAAACGTGTCCCACCACCTTGACCCAAACCATAAATTCATCAATGCTCCTGTTGTAATTTTTTTTTTCCCAACACATCTGTATTTATTTTATGTATTTTTGGCAGTTGTAATGTTTATTATTATTTACCAAAACCATTTATCACTAGTTTTATACGTATTCTACATTGTGTAATAAATTAACAACTAGGAAGCTGCAAAGTTTAAAAAGACCAAGAAGAAGGTGCGAAAGATTCGAAAGAAAGACATCCTCAAGGCTGATGATCTTTTACCTCTTCCAGAAGAATCTACAGTGCAGGACTATGGGTCAAGGTCAGATTTGTTAGAAATGATATTATATGCAGTCTTTTTAAATTTAACATATTTCCCATGTGGGTTCTGGGACGCCATTGTGGGGAAAACAAGAATAGACCCACTGTCTCCCCAACAAGCATGTCGTGTGAGTTGACTAAATGGGGGCATTCTTTGAAGTTGGAGTACATCTGCCTGAGAGGCAAGGAACCAGCAGTCTGCATAAAAGTAGGTCAAATCTGTAAAACGGATGTGCATGCAAGACTCAGGTTCTGTAACAAGACAAATGTCCATAGATGGACAAAAAGCCAAAACTTTCCATTTGAGTTTATGCGAAGAAAAAGAATTAAACATAGTTAATTGTCGAGCATTTTATGGGACAAGTGAGTTTTTTTATTCATCGGATACAATTTACTATAGTGGCTTTCAGACAGTGGTATATTTAGTTTACTGGCCCCAAGAGACTTAGGCCAGTTTTTCTGCTTCATTCGTTTTTATTTATTATCCCTTTACTCTATATAGTATTTGTTCTTGTTTGGATGATCAATTGATTTTGCATTATTATTTTGTCTTATGACATGTATAAAATGGTTGTTTTTCTATATATTAAGTTTTTGAACATACAAAATGTATGGTCCCAGACAAGTTTCATCACCGTAGGGAACAAAAACCTTCAGAAGGTGGTGACAGTGGTCATTAGGCAAGCTCATCTGCACGCACACACATACACACTCACACCCTACCCACCCACATTCACATGCATGTGTGTGTGCACACACACAGATAACAAAGCAAATATTATTGAAGACATTGCATGCAACATTATCTACTTCTTATAGCAAAGCCTTGCATATGATATCACAACATCTAGTTTGCGAATGGAGGTGGAGGCAATCTTTGCAATTTTCCACTGGCTTGAGAATCAGCTGTACACACATGTCGTTATTGTAACTGACTCACAGAGCATATTGAGAAAGGTGACGTCGGGCATACTTCGTGCAGAGTGGCAAGCATCACTTCAGAGGTCTCAGGTAGTAAGCATCCTTTGGATATTTTCTCCAGGTTATGCTGGTGTGTTGGAAAATGAGCAGGCAGATAGACTGGCCAGCTCTGCACCACTTGATGGTGAATTTATGTATGACAAGCTAGATATTGTGAGGGCCATTTTGAAATGAGTGAGCAGTGTGGAGGCTCAGATAGATCATTACAGTCTGAGGAGAATAGAGCTGCAATGAGTTACTAGGGAATCTGACAAACGCTTAACACTCAGAGAAAGAATGAGACGGATATACAATCAGACAGTTACTGGTGCCATCAGAATTGGAACTCCTTGCTTGAAGATGGGGAAGGAGCACTCATGGTAGTGTCCCAAGTGCTGTGATGTCGATTTTTAATTCAGCATTCAACATTGTTTACTTTTTGTCATTTAAAGAACAGACTTTTTCATCTTCCTCCTCCTCTTTTTCTTCTTTTCTTCTTCTGCTTCAGCCTTCCTAGCCAATTACATTCTAGATGCAGTTATCACGCCTCTGTAATCTCTTTCCGGTTGATGACTCTGAATGTTTGTAGGTCTGCCTGAATGTTTTGTATCCACTGTTAAAGAAAAGACTACAGAGATAAATAAACTTGAGCTTTTTTCTTCTGTACAGGATGAGAGGTAAAGGTCGTTTTCATGCTGAAGTTGAGGATGAAATGTCCAATGATGGAGATAAGAAGGAGCAGATTAAAACAGAAGAGACGAATCCTGTGGTGGTAGAGGATGTCACGACTGAGCCCACATTCAAGATAGAGGTTGATGATGGTAAGTAGGCAGGCATGCTTAAATCAAGTAGGGACCATTTCCACACCTTTAGGCGGGTATGTCCGGCTAGACCTGTATTTTATAGACCAATCAGCACTTAGTAGGTGATGTGATCAACATCATGCCAGCCACCTTTACTTCCCCAGATTGTTACCTGGTGTCCATTTAAGGCTGGTTCAGCCTGGGAGCCAAGGTCATTTTGATGTCTGATGTCTGCAGGCATTTGTTGACTGGGTTAACCTTCACACAATAATCAGGTTCTGGAGCATAGCCAAAGTTCAGAGTTGATGAAGAATCAGGATTTTCAGTCATAGTTTACAGTTGGTGAGTATGTAGTCTGGCATGCCAGGAATATCGGTTGGTGGGCATTTTGTTAACAACCTGCAGTATGCTGATGATATAGTTTTGGTTGCTGAAAATGAAACACAACTGCAAGAAATGTAATGGATTTAATTGTAATGGAAAGTGAAAACAAGGGTCTTCGTAAAAACAGTAGAAAAACAGTGGTGATTACAAAGAAAACCGACCCTCCAAAATGCAGCATCAAAGTAAACAGGACAAACCGTAAGCAGGTTGATATGATGAAGTACTTGGGTACCCTAATAACATCTGATGGAAGATGTATTAAAGAAATTAAATGTAGAATAGCTCAAGCAAAGGCAGCATTTTACAAAATATAGAATATTTGGTGTAATTTTTGTGTGTGTGTGTGTGGTCATTTGAGAGAAGAAAGAGAGAAAGCTGTAATCATATTTGGAAGTGAATCATGGACCTTTAGTAGATAAGTGAAAAATTATTTGGAAACTGGAGATGTGGTTTTAAAGACGGATGATGCGAATACCCTTGACAGATAAATAAGAAATGAGCATGTCTTGAAAGAAACTGACTACTGGCTCATCAAGATAACTGATTGCCCACATCAGAAAAAGACATAATACATTTTTAGGTCATGTGATAGAAACTGGAGTACATCGTGACAGTAGAAAACTTTGAGGGGAGAAGAGGCAGAGGGAGACTTGAGAGAAAAGATGCTGGTCGGTTTGACATCATGACATGGAGTATCATATGTGTCAGGGTTGATTGAAAGTACACAAGACAGAATGTTGTGGATAGACATGACTACAAACGCCAAGAGCATGGAGAGGGCAAAGAGTAAGAAAAGCTGATAAACAAGCTAGCCACTTTGCTACAATCAATATTATTTATGTACTCATGTCAGTGCCGTACTGTCATTGATATAATACTAATGTCATTGCTATACACCAGTGTCATTGACATACATATGCCATTGCTATCCAGATGTCATTGCTATACATTTCCGGTCAAATAATACAGCAAATACTCAGGAATTGTCTTCATTTCTTGCTTCAGATGATATCATAGGACCAGATGAGGATTTGTCAGGAGTCGCTGTAAAGGAAGATGAAGCCCAGAATGAGCTGCAGGGCATGCTGGCAAAGGCTAGGAAAATTAAGCTGAAAAAGGAACGGGTTTCTTCAAGACAGGTGAGATTTTAAATAACAAAGGAGGATAGTCTCCTTCTTCTTCTTCTTCTATGTGTTCACTGGATGTAAAGTTCAGGTTGTTCGTCCCCTTCTGGACTTTAACTTCTGGACTGTCTTATTCCAGAACTTCAGATTTGTGTGCACATCCGTTTTACAGTTCTGATGTTATGAGTTTTAACATATTAAACAAAATTATACAGCTGATCATATTCTTCATCATTCAGAAAGTATGCTGGGAGGTAAATGCTTCCATGTCACATATGAAGTGTTACTTAGTCTACACAAATATGCGGCTAGCATGTGCCCAGTACATCTTATGGCAGGAAAATGGGGCTTGCTGGTTTTATATTCCATCAGCCAGATCATCTGTTACAGGAGAATAAACGGGTGAGATCAGGGCTCTCAGCCTTGGTTGGCAGCTGGTCTAGAAGGGATGCTGTGACAGGCGGGCGGATGAAGCATTGCTGTTCTTCTTTGTTCACCAGCTCTATGCTCTGGTGAAAAGTCCTGGTTGTTCATCCGTTTTAAATTTGCTTTTGAGCCAGCGCCTTAGTATTGCGTGTACATCCATTTTGCTGGCTCATTTATGTGCACTTGGTTGTTCCTTGCCATTCATATATTATAAATGCACTCCAACTTCGGAGGAAGCTGTCAGTTAGTCGATTCTTTTGACTTACTTTTTTTTGGTATGTAGTGGGTCGCTTCTTGCTTTCCAAACAATAGGACTGCGAACCCACTCGGGGAGAGCACTGCTGTTCTGATCTGTCAGTTTCTGCAGAATGCTTTTTCTAATCATATTAGTGTTACCTTTCCTTTGGAATTAACAAAGCAGGCAGAGAGAAGGATCACATTGCATGGGCAGGACATTGTCTCTACAAAACTACGCAGACTTTGTGCTGTGAGATTATTTTTAATGTGAACTAGTCTTGCTGGCGGCATCCATGGCTTAGGCATTGCGAGTCCGACTCGTAATTCCAACGTACCACGATCGAAACCCAGAACTGGCTGCGTGGTTTTTTATCATGGTATGGGGCGTCGCAGGTCGACCCAGCCTAAAATAGGTAACAGGATGGCTGTCTTGGGGAAGTAAAGACAGCTGGCCTAATGCTGACCACATTACCCACCTCGTGTCGATGGTCTGTAAAGAAATGGGCGCTCTTCCCATATACCCAATATGCCTAAAGGCGTGAAAAGAGATCTTTATTTAACTTTACTTACTAGTCTTGCTAATCAAACATGCCATTGCCATGGGGCATGATCCCATTCCCCCAGAAGAACAGTTTAGCACTTTTTTCTAGAAAGATGGAAAGATGCTAACCAAATCATTACCAGGCTTGAAGTAATCAAAAAAAAGGAGGACAAAGAGGAAGGTAATGTTTAACAAGAGATCAGTATTTGAAGGTAGTTGTTTGCACAAATTTGAACCAATAATTTACTCGGATACACAAAATTGCAGTGCTGTCATTTACTGTTAGTCTTTTCTTTTCAAAGATCATTGAACAGATTCAGCCTGGCACAGAAAACAGTAGTCTCCAGAATCAAACTGCATCCAATATTATTCTGAATTGTACTTCTGAGTTCTGCAGAAATCTTGGTGAGATCCCCACTTATGGTCTTGCTGGGAACCGGGAGGAGGATCGTGGGGAACTAATGGTAAGGGATATCACAAATACACTTCAGTTTTATATTTGTTGAAGCATTTAGATCAGCATATTTGCTTGCATGAGATGTATATTTTCTGTGTATTTAGCATGAATCTTTTTTAATACTGCCAGACACTGTCATCATCATTTACATCTCACTTGCTACTCCTTAGTCCCTTTATCACTGATGTTCTCTTTCATTGTCTACAACTTTATTATATTCTTGTATCCTTTTGCAAGCAGCAGATCAGTGTTATGGAAATTGGTCGTATTTTGGAAGCAGCTAATAGTAACTAGAATGTCATCAAAGCTGACTAAGGATGTTGTCAGGGGGCTTCTCCATCCTTCACAAATATCTAGAAAATCCAACATCCTGTAAACATCTTAGGGGGGGGGGGGGGGGGGGGGGGGGGCAGACAGGACAAAAGGGATAAAGGAAGGCCTAATAAAATATAGAAAATGGAATTAGTAACAGATCAATAATGTGGGATGAACATAAGGGGGCTGCAAGAGATGGCAGAAGATATGAATTGGTATTCTTAGTGAGAGAGAAAGCGAAGTAGAAGATATATAAAGGGGAGGGATGTGATGTCTGCGTATTACCTGTCCCAATGTGGATGCTAACATTTTGTTGTCTTAGAAGGTATTTCTTCTTCTTTTACATGTTCACCTGCTGTAAACTCCGGCAAAGGGTTCTGGTTGCTCATCCAAGTCTGGACTTAAGATTTGTTCCAGAAGCTGATTGTTGCGAGCACATCCGTTTTACAGATCTGGCTTATTTTTATGTAGACTGATGGTTCCTTGCCTCTCAGGCAGATGCATTCCCACTTAGAAGGAAACTCCACATCTAGCAGACATACTTGTTGGGGAAGCACTGGGTCTGTTCTAGTTTTCCCCTACAGTGTTGCCCAGGACGAAGGTATTTGAAGTTGACACTTTCTGATTGGTGTGTTATTATTCTTCCATCTGTTTGTTCTGTGCAGGACATGGAGTTAGAGCTGATGGAGCAACGAAGGAAACAAGAAGATCTTGAAGAGGCAACAGGGGGTTGGAATGCAGTTGACATTGATGACAAGCCTGTTGACATCCGGGTAAGGGTTATGCATTTTTTCCTTGTCAGTGTTCTAAGTGGTATTGTTTGTTAAGATTTCAGTCTTTTTGATAAAGATATTTCTTTGTTATCTTGAATGGCAACCATTCTGCTTGACACAATGAGTTAAGATGTGATACCTGGAACATTTCATTTATTTGTTGATCATCTTTCTATCCTGTTTTGATTATACTGTGAGCTATGGTGTAATATTGCATTTGCTTTATACCACTACTGCCGGTAGGTTTGACCCAGCGTAATAAAATGGATAGTGAAGGTTTAGAAGAGTAAAGGCGATCTACATAATTTCAACCATTATCACCTCGTCATGGGAAGTGTTTAGACACTAAAATATATACTGTGTCCCCGGTATATTTTAGTATTGTTGAAATTGAGTCTCTCAGAGATCCTGGTGTGAGAAGGATAGTGACATTTGCAGATGATATTCTTGCATATGGGCAGCGTAGAGAAAGGCAACAGACAACTCAAGAACTACAGGCAACAGTGGACAAAGTGAATGGCTGGTGTGTTTCATTAGTCCTCAAAAGGCAGTAGTTTTACGGTGCTCTCTGGACACAAGAATTGTTCGAGCTGCTATCCCAACCTGACAGTAAACAATGGAAACATTTTTTTTTTTAAAGCAACTAAAGTACCCAGGTATCACTTTTAATAGGAGCCTGTCATTCAGGGACCATGTTGCAGCAAAATGCCAAAAGGAGCTCAGTGCATTGAAAATTTTGGCAGTACAAAAATGCTGTTCACAGCACTTGATTATATCTGACGCTGATGCCAAAACATTTGCAGAGCTTACCAAGATCAAACCTTATGGGGAGGACATTCACATAATGTATCAACCATGTCAGTAAACTCCTTGGAACAGCACACTGTTATGTTGTTGCTGACTGCAAAAGCAAGGCGTGACCCTAGGTGGACGTGGTAAAGGTCAGTTTACACAAAATGCCATCCGTAAGCTGACAGTTCATTACAACAGAAATAAGGAACAACACTAGTGAAGAGTCCATGAGGAACAGTGTTATGACTTCGTGAATCACTGTTTTTCAATAGACAAAACTGCACACCATGAAATGTGCCTAAGTGGAGAGCATTCTTTTGTTTGTTTTTTCAGTCGCCCTGGCTAAGCATTAGTCCTCAGGTCCTCATAACAAGATGTTACACATGGCTCAACTTTTATAAGCTACAGATAAATTTTTTTTTCAATTTATGAAAGGCTGTCTGACCCTAAACTGCTTAGTAGATGTGTTTCAGGAAAAATTCAGAATAATCTTTCAAAGTACAGGTCTAACACCATTACCTCAATATGAGATCATCATCTCATAACACTGTGTGTCGTTGGGTCATCAGTGGCTGTTGACTGTCTGATAGGCTCCTTCGGCCTTTGACAGTCAGCAAGCCTAAGGCCTGTCCAGTCAGACCTATTCTGCATCCTGGTCTTTCTTGGTCTGCCTCTTCCCCTCTGCTGAGCCCTCAACGTAACAGTGACATAAAAAGATTGCTTTACTTTCAGTTATTGTTTGAACTTTGAATGCAACATTCCTTGTCATATATTCTTGCAGGTTGACGAGGCTGTGGTTCTGGAGGAGGAGCCTATTTCTAGTGAGGGCGTAGTTGCTGCATTGATGCTGGCCCAGAAAAAAGGTCAGTCAGACAGAGGAATCCAGATTATCTCCAGCTTATTTGTGCATATTGCCATGTAGCTGCACATTCATATACACATTTAGATATAACATAGGCTTGCAGAAGTCAGATGTGTCAGCCAAATAGCACAAATATCACAGCCATTTTGTAAATGGCCATAGTGCATTTACATCTTCAGACAAATGGAGGCAAAGAAGAAGATATACAGGAATACCCTGTTGACACGAATTCCATGTGATGGAAAAATTTATGCCTGCATACTAAACATGATACATCCCCGCTGGGACATTTTATAAAATTTCAAGTGAGTATTCATAAGCGAGTTCGTGTTGACAGGGTTTTACTGTATTTATCTTTCATTTAGTAAAGTAAAGGACCCTTATTGACTCCTTCAGGTGTTTTGGGCATGTAGGGCTAGACCTATATTTTATAGACCAGTTGGCACTTGGTGGGTGGGTGGTGTGGTCTACATCACGTCGGCCACCTTTACCTGGTACTCTTTTACGACTTGAGAGCCAAGGTCATTTTTAACAGATGGAAAGAACTGAACCCACGACTTTTGGATCTGCAGACAAGAGTCTAGCTGCTACACCACAGTGGCTGTCTTCCATGTAGAACGGCCATGCTTGGAAATGAAGTCTTTACAGCTGTATGTGAATTGTTCTGATGTCATAAGCACTCATACGACATGGAACTGAAGTTACACAAAGTCAGGCTTAAGTTACAGTCTGTCCTGCATGTTGTGTTTTATTCATCATTCGGTGTCACAACCCATTGGAAGTGAGAGTTGTTAAACATTATGTATACCCAGCTGTACTGTATGGTGCAGAAACCTGGACAATGAACAAGCTTCTAGATAATTGAGTTTCTGGAAATGTGGATGTATATAGTTAATAGTAAGATTATCCTCATTGCTCAATGGAAAAGTCCATAAGCGCTCAGATCCCATCTTCAGTATATCCCCCAGCATGTGGCGACTGATAACACCAGTTCTTTGTTGGTTTACTATTCTTCTATGACTACTTGTATAGTGTTCATGTTTGGCGACACCTCTTGTGACCTGAAGTTCTTATAGCTTTTGAGTGTTGCCGATTCAAGGTCGTCTCCTCAATCATTTTCTCGTCCTGCCTCCTTGAGAGCGTTGAGAATGTCAGGTCGGTCCATTGATTTTTGCTCATCCATTCCCTCTTACCCCATAGTGTCCTGAATTAAACTAAATTAAATTAATTCCTTTCAGACGAGATTTTGTCATCGGCTCTAACCATTTTCTTCTAATCCATCCTGTCTCTATCTTCTTAAACATGCATATGGAATCACTTAAAAAGCATGCATGGGAAAAATGCTGTGCCTCTAACCACATTATTTATTAGTGCCATCACCTTCATAGTCAATAGTTTTCCCTTGAACCAGAACCGTGAAAGCCATGAACTTTGTAAGTGTCAAATGACGGATCTGCCAAGTATAGATAACTGCACCTCTGTGAGTAGAATTTTCAAGAACTAAGGCTTACACTTCTACCTTAACCACCAACAGGCCTTGTTGTTTGCAATCTCTACCCAGTTTTATGTACACTGAAAAAGGATATACCCAACTCTGCTGGCACTTGTATTCATTCCTCACCAGGTTCTATGTCCTAAATTGGACAAACTTGTTGAATAATGACCTCAGCCTGAGCCATCCATTGAAGGCAAAAGAGCCAGAGGTAAAGAGCAAAAGAAGTGAGAGAAAAATGTCAAGAGACACATAAACAGTATTTTGGAACAAGAGATAAGAGTTTATGGAGGATCTGTTGCAGCCAGCCTTCACTGTGACAGTGTAACCTGATTGATTGATATGTCACAGACACACACATACCTCACAAGTCTAAGTCACAAACATGCTCAAGCACTGAGGCTGACATCACGGTCATGCAGCCACTTTCTTTTAAATCTTCCATGTATCTTAAACACTCAGGCCAGCCTACACACGGTTGCCCTTGATGGGTTCTCCAGGGGACAATATCTGTAAATAAAGGGACAGAGAGGACACCACACAAATAAGGTTACGTCATGTCCCAACTGGGAAGGCTAACCCGGTGAATGTATACCCAATAAAACTAGATGTGTCACTTAAAAGACACACAAATCGCAGCTGTGCTGTACTCACTTGGACAAACGATAAAGAAGAAACACTCATACACCAAGGACAGCCCTACACATGCTCTTCCAATAGGTCTGCAATCATGAACTTCTCAACTGTTCTTCCTCATATTTAGTTGTTCTCTTAGCTTTCAGTTCCTCTGTCCTTGTCTTTTGATATCTACATCTCCTAGCTGATCTTCCATGTGTGCTATGATTTATTTGCCTTAAACAGTGTTTGCTGAATTTTGGTTGTCGTTATCTGTTCAGGTTACCTTGAGGCTGAGGCCCCTAAAAAATTGCCAGCGTTGTCTTTGAAGGCATTGGAACTCCAGGCTCAGAATTACACAATACAGGACAAAAGATATGAGTAAGTTTGCCTCACCTGTGATGTCTTTTTAACTGAACATGTATGTAAAAGTAAGTAAAAAGTAAAGATCCCTTTTCACGCCTTTAGGCTCATCCGGCATATGGGAAAAGCACCCATATTTTTACAGACCAATCGGCACTAGGTGGGTAATGTGGTCAGCATTACGCCGGCCACTTTACTTCTCCAGGACATCCATCCTGGTACCCATTTTAGGCTGGGTCAACCTGCGATGCCCCAAACCATAATAAAAATCCACGCAGGGAGCAGTGGGTTTTGATTGCGGTATGGTGGAATTACAAGTCAGACTCCCAACGAACATGTATGTAGTTTTGTAAAATGTGTGTACTATTTTCGTGAGCACTTGTATTAATTTGAGAGACTTCTTGTACCACCGTAACCAATTAAATATGTCTAGGGCTTTCAGCCTTCCAAATGCAGTGACCTTTTAATACAGTTCCTGATTTTGTGGCGACCCCCAACCATACAATTGTTTTCGTTGCTACTTCATAACTTCAGTGACATGTATATACATCCCCTAATGCTGTTTAGATTAATTTTATGCCTGATCCTTCTAAACACTGCACAGGTGCAAACAGAGGCAATGCAGAGGCAATGCCAGAATTGTTGCTTTATAGCGCCAAAGATTTAACAAATATAAAACCAACCAACCATCTCACTATTCTCTTTTTTTCCCCCTCTCCATGATTCAGTGACCTTGACGAGAAGAACCGCAAGCGTGACCGGTACCAAGGTGGCATGATCACAGAGTTTAAGGAGAAGGATTCATACAAGCCTGAAGTCAAGCTGGACTATGTTGATGACAGTGGGCGGGCACTGAGTGCCAAGGAGGCTTTCAGGCAACTTAGTCACAGGTTCCATGGCAAGGGTTCTGGCAAGAAGAAGACAGAGAAGCGAAGCAAGAAAGTAGAGGAAGAATTGGTATGTGATTTGTCATGTCTATTGCTTGTTTTATTTCTAAAAAAAAATTTTTTATAGTATACTGTTGTATTCTGATTCTATATTATGTTTTTATCTTTTTTTAGATCGTTCAGTTCTTTGTGTAAATATGTTTTCGCCAATTGTAAACTTTTTTTGGGATTTGTTATGTTTGCTTAACGACATTTGTATCTACCCCCACACACAAATATATTCATCATTTTCATGTGCCTTTGTTTCTTAGTGGATTCAGCAACAATTTTTCCCTACAGCACTGTCCATCTTCACCTCACCCCCTCCTTTTTTTTTGTTCTTATCATTCACTGGCTATAAATTCCGGTGAAAAGTTCTAGCTGGTCGTCCACTTCTTGATTTTGATCTTGATTTAGAATTTTGCATGCACATCTATTTTACAGATCCGGCTTATTTGTCTGCAGACTGTTGGTTTATGGCCTCAGGCTGATGCACCTCTGACTTTGAAGGAAACATCCCTAATTAGTCTTCTCCTACAGCATGCTTGTTTGGGAAAGGGAGGGGAGTGGGTCCATTCTTTATTCTTCAGAATCATGCCCCAAAAGGAGTCTTAGTAATTAAATGCTTTAACAACTATGTGACCACTGCAGCTCTAAGTTAGTATTGTTTATCCCCAAAGACTTCCAGATCACCCTTCTGTTTTTGGTTTTGCAACCCCTAATTTAAACTGTTAAATTTTCATTTATCAATGTTGATTGAATCAATTTTGATCTTTCATTATTGATTGAATCGTTTGTGGATTTTGGTATGTGGATTTTGCAAATAAATGTTTTCAAATTTGTTTGCAGCTGATGAAGAGAATGAGTTCAACGGACACACCACTGAACACTCTGAGTCTCCTTAAAGACAAGCAGAAGAGTGAGAAGTCCCCTTACATTGTTCTCAGTGGCAGCAAAGGCTTTACCTCGTAAGTTCTGTGTGGATTGTCGTAAATTTGAACTGAACATCATGAATATTGGCCTGCATGTTAAGTTATGTTTCTCTTTTCCTGCTTTTCATCCCCTAATGGAGCTTAGGCACTCAACCAGCTCACATCAGACCCTTCTATTCTTTGCTGTCTTTTGTGTTGCCTCATTGTCCTACTCTTATTACACTTGTCTCTTTAATTTAATTCTCATCTTCATGTGCGTTTTAAGTCTCCCAATTTTTTTTTTAATTTATAATTTTTGCCCAGTGGGTATCAGAGGAAAGACTTTCTAAATAATACCATTACAGGTTTTCTCTGTGCATGTTTTATCCAGTACTAATGTCTTTTCTTTAAAATTTAAGTGAAATTTTTTTTAGTTTTTTTTCATGAGCTTTGCATTAGTGATTCTGTCACACGAATTATAGTCCAGTTTTGCTTAGGCACCATTTGATTAATGTTTATTGTTTTTGTTTATTATTCCCTAATAGATTTGAACAGAACCTCTCGGTCATGCCAGTCTATCCTTTACTAAATTTTAGTCTTTTGCATATTATGACTTGTTCAGGATTGATTGGAGTTTGCACTTCTTTTCTACAAAACTAGTGATCAGTTCTTAGGTTTCTTGATGCAACTTATACAATATGTTATGATCATTATTTCATTTCATACTAATTCTAGAATATTATTAATGCTTATTCTCATTACATAGACATCACATTCTTCTTCATCATCACTTTTTTTTACAACTTTAGATGTTTGTTGTTCTGTTGCTTGCTGTTCTGGCCACCTTGACCAGACAGATCATGCTGTTATAGAGGGTTTCTCTGATGTTAATTTTCCATCTTGTTCTTGGTCTACTTTGTGCTTTACGTCCTTCTCTTCTTTTGGTGTGTATGCCTTGTATGGTATGGCGTCACAAGCATTCTCTCTGAGTAGGCAAACCATTTGATTTGCTGTATTTATAAGTAATTTAGAATTGATTCTTTGCAGAATTTTTCCCCTATGATCTTAATCTCTTTCAGTGACTCTTGCTGCTTTTTTCAGACATCTCATTTCAATGGTTACTAATTTTATTTTATGGTTTGTTATGAGTGACCATGTCTGGCACTGGTAGAATAGGGTGGGAATAAATGTCCTTTGTTTTGGATGTTTCTTAGTGAGTGACATTCAACCCCAGCGGGACTGCACAATGAGAGGTAAACAACCGGTGACACAAAGTGCCATCATGATGAGAATAACCCGGGCACAAGTCCTAGAAACCCTGTTAAACTTCTAGGTTATATTAGGGCCCCCCGACTACAGGGTGGGGTTTTAAAATAACAAAAAGAAGTGTCCCACATTGGGGCATTTTTTAAGTAATGTTTCTTTGTGCTGATCATGGTTATTTTATGTCAAGGGGTGCTTAGCTGTCCTGCTACTTGGTTTGCTTTACAGTTACTACAAGTGTCAATTATTCAGTGCATTACTAACAGATAATATTAACATTATTTATTTTAAATTAAACATTTTACTGTTTTATAATTCTTTAGTTTTACATTTTAATTGTTTTTCTACCACAGGAATAATATTGTCAAACCAACTTGAAACTGGAAACAGTTACTGTACACAGTTTTTGCACTATCAAAAAGATGGGTTTGATATTGAACAAGTTACTGTGAACACAGCCTACAGTTTTGTATCGTATGCAGCCAGAATCTACAAAGAAATTATTGTGAAAAGTTATCTGAGGAGACAGTGACAAATAAAGTGTTCTACCCAACTACATACGTTTTTGTTGAGCATGTGACAAATTGTGTTGGTTACACTGTATGAATGTGACATCTTATTACATCTATATCTTTGTTTTTTTTTTCATTTAATGACTTGTCAGTTTACTCAACTGCTGAATCGTGTTGTGTTATATCGATGTCAGAAAGAGTGCTAAAATGTTACATAGAACCTGTTCTGCTGTATGGTAAAAAATCTTAGAATGTCAGTGAACAAGTTTGAAGCAACAGAGATGTGGTTTTTGAGACGAATGTTACAAATACCTTGGACGGCCAGAGTAACTAATAACGATTGTTTGAAAGAAGCTAATGAAAGTAGATCTTTATGTAAAACAATAAGATGGAGACACTGTTCTTTTGCCATGTAATGTGAAGAGAGGTATTGGAGAACATGACAACTGGAAAGATCAGCTGAAAGAGTGGTAGAGGCAGACCTAGAGAAATTATGCTGGACAGGCTGAAACGATGGCATGGAGGGATATCATCCAGAGACCTGTTTGGAGATCGTGATCTGTGGAGATACATTGAGCGCCTCCGCCAGTTGGCAGGGCATATGATGATGCTGATGCATTGATGAGGTGTTCTGTTTATGATTTAATCGAAAAAATGGAAAGCCGGGGGTAGAAAGAGTGACGTTCAACCTCACCAGAACCATATAATGAGCGATAAACACAAAGTACCACCATTCGGATGTGAATCGCCCAGACAAAAATCCCAGAAACCCCATTCAACCGTTCGAGGAGAACTTTACATACCACACCCAGCATAAATACTCTTTCACACACACACCCCAGGAGGTTGAAACAAAGAAAACTCTAGAAGCCCAGCATCCTTACAAACTTTTAGGGTTGGGCCGCTTGAGGTGCCCGAGCTTTATTACAATGAGTATTAACAATAATAATGTGCCGGATGACAAGTAAATAAAATAAATAACTGAAATAATGTGAACAGTTTGAATGAATACTTGTAAAAAAAGAACCTCTATACCAGCTTGCCCCACTTTTAAAACACCCTGCTGCCCCAGCTGAGATAAAAAGACAAATTATAAATACAATCTTTATACCCACATTAGGTTATCAATGTCAGACTTGGACATTAACAAAAGAACACGAGAGAAGACTAACCACCTGTGAAATGAGATGTTTGAGAATGGCTGCGAATAAAACCAGAATAGATCGAGTGAGAAACGATGTGATTACAAGAACTATTGGAACCATACCCATCGTTAAATATATTGAGAAGCAAAGAATGAAATGGTTTGGTCACCTAGTGAGAATGGAACCAACGATGCCAGCATCAAGAGCATACAACATGAAAATCGAAACACCAAGAGGCAGGGGAAGACCAAGAAGAAGATGGATTGAAGGAGTCACGGACAACTTGAGACTTCATAACATCACGGAATATGAAGCGACTGAGTGCCCCCTGGCTCGGTTGCCGATCATCTGATAGACTGCGACGCCTAGCGGCACAAGCAGATTTTGACAAAAGAAGAAGAAGAAGATACATGATTAAGTAAATGGGGGGGGGGGGGGGGTGTCATTTAGTTCCCTGAGGAATTTTCTGCATGGTCTTGTTTTTATGATTTTTCTGAAACGGGAAAGGGGGGGGGGGGGGGGGGGGGGGGGGGGGGCCTCAATGGATCTAAACAGAAAGTTATTGGGGATCTGAGTCTCTCTCCTCTTAAAAACAATATGCATTGTTAATAATTCAGTGTTGTTTAGTCAATAGACTTTCCCTAAGTTGTTTCCACAATCTATATAATAGAGTAATATGAATTAATCAAGTAACATAAAGTGTATTGATCGGTCCTAGGACCGCCATGAGATTGAGCACATCGCCCACCGAGCGTGGATTCATCTATAAAATATAGGCCTAGCTATATAAAGCAAAAACATCAACCCCTCTCTTTCCCCTCCCCCCAATACCATCGTGCAATGAGGGGGAAAGATATTCTAGCATAAATCATGGCGACACCGCGGACATCTGAGAAAAACATAAATGCTTCATCAGTGATTATAGCTGTACGTTTATTCCTTAATGAGTCACAAAAAGGACAACGTGCATGGGGTTCTCAAAAGCGCCCGTTGGTTTGTCTTGAAAGGTCTTTCCTGTGGACCAGATTTTTTCTCTCTGACCTGCAAGGTCTGTGATTTCTTCTACGAGATGCTCATTGTGGTTTTGGTGCACCACAACCATACCTGGTCTAGTCAGCGAGACCAAGGCAGGTATACGACTATGTGACTATTCTATGTTATGAGGTCATGGTGTCCCGGTTCATATTGTTAAAATTCCAGGCATGCCCACCCCCCCCCCCCCCCCCCTCTTCCCCTAAACATTTCAATAAAATAACCGGTGGAAGAAACGAGGAAGAAGTAGGGGATGTAGAAGAAATCAAGTCTATAGCCAGGTCCGACACGGTGGTCGAGTCAGGACTCTCGAACCAGGGCTGCCAATGGGATTTTTTTTTTAAAAACCCAGCTTCGCTAAACAAAAACCAAAGCAATACATAGACAAAGAACGAAAAAAAAAACAATATTAAAAAAAAAAAAGATTGTTAAAATGTACAAAATTTATAGTTCCGAACGAATTCCGATTCCTTTTGACAAAAAAGAATGAAAAGCTCGACCACGTTCTGACTGCTAGCCAGCCGAGGCTGCTAGCAGTCTCCGCCTATATTTGTGGTCTGGGTTATTTGTGTCACTTTCGTGACTGAATTCTAGTTTTTGTGCCATTTACTTGTGCATGTCTTCCCTTGTCTTACTTAGTGTTTCCAGTTTGTTTCCCTTTGATTTGGCCAGGCGTATTTAGTAGGGGAGGTCGCTTTTCCACACAACGTCCTTTGGACCACCATTTACAGTTTTAAAATTGTGAGTATTTTATTTTGCCAAAAAGTACTGAAAACAGTTTTTGATTTTGGATAGTTCCGAAATGTGAAAATATTTCACGTGTGACCATAGTGGTCTTATAGTTGTCTTCCTGAAATAAGAACGGGTTAGTCATGTCGGGTATATATGCGTGTAAAATGTTGTGTAGAGCCTTAAAGCAAATCTAATCGTCATTTTCTAGTGAGTGTAGACTCGGTTGTGTCTGTCTGGGTTGGCAGCTAGGTTCCGGTGTGCGTAAATACCATATACCCGGAGAATTCAGCTCACGCTTTGAAATCCAAATGTACGGCGACGAGATTTGCTGTGGCATGTTGAACTCAAGTGCTCGCTGTGGGAATGGGGTGGGGGGAGGGGGGGGGGGGTTGAACTCATAGTGCATCCGAAAGAGGTAGGGAGGGGTAAGGGGATGGGAGGCCATTCAGTCATTTCTGGTCGTTGCCGTTTTGCTGGATTCTAGCGTGGCCTTTAGCTGGGATTATGTGTATCACGTTACCAACCTTTGCTGTCATCCCAGTGATGGGTTGGTGTTGTTGGTTATGTGTTTTAGTCCTGTCAGGGTCGATTCACTTGTTTTCACTATTTTTGTCAATCATATCTTGTCATGAGCTACACTGGTCATGTTTATGTTGCGTGCATGTTGTAGAATGGGATGGTTTTGAGTACGAACCCCCGGAGTACATGGACGCATACAACCAAGAGTATGCGTACATGCACTCGAGCATTCATGCACGCAGACAACACTACATGTGTGCACATCCTTTCATCCTTATCCGTGTATGCATACCTATTTGACATTTCGTACACATGCATACTCTTTCATATGTGTCAACCAATGCCTACATAAATGTACTTACAATCATGACAAACGTGTACTTCTGCAAGTAAGGACACTCACACTTCCATGTCTTTCATGTTACGGTGTGTCGCTATCTCTGTACTGTCGTCTGGTCTTGTCACTTTTCAAGTCCCTGGTAGGTGATCTGTACATTACGTTCTTATCTTATTCTGGTGGATGGTGTGTGTTGGTGAGGTTCTTGCTGGTGTTAACAGCCATACAACAACCTAATTTATAGGGTTCTGGAGTGCACTGTCATTCACACACATATATATACATACACGCTCCCATATACATATATAATATATATATATATGCATATATATATATATATATATATATATATATATATATATATATATATATATATATATATATATATATATACTAATACACATGCATACAAAATTACATTTCTATATCCATGTAATCGTTCATCTGCATCTTTCGCACAGCTATATTCCCACTTTCCTGTCGATATGTAATCTCTTACCATTCGCCTACATACGCACTCGTCTTTATGTATTCACCCATACTCATATATATGTACCCATCATACTTACATTACCTCCCTTGCTCCAGGGTGTCTGGAATCACCATGTGATCCGAACGAAACATTTATCCCTTTTATTTAAGGATATTTAAAAAAAAAAAGATTTCCCCAAGGCGTCAAATAAAAACCCAGACCTGGGGGGGGGGGGGGAGAATCTAGCATTGACAGCCCTGTGTGGAACAACACTTGAGGAAGTTGGTTAGTTATGTTATCATAACTGCACTCCGGACATGCCCATAGGTGCTCAGATCCCCTCCCCTCAGTATGAACCCTAACGTCCGATGGCTATTATTATGATGTTGATTAACAAGTCTTTTGGTGTGCGTCTCGTTTTTTGCTATGCCGATCTTAATTCCCAAGTCTGCCATTCTGGAGAGTGATTTGGATTCACTGCCCCCAAAGGCCTCTATCCTTCCCATTTCTTTGAGGGCATTACTGATATCAGTATTTATATTATCAGCATGATCCATAGGCTGACCGTAGGTAGTCCAGCCAACCCGTCAGCGGAAGTGCTGCACCTTATGTATTTCTTCTTCTAAAGATCTCCAAAACAAAAATTGGAGTTGAGTAGAGTGTAGAGTAGAAAAGATTGCATTGCATATTTTATGGTAAGATTTTTTTCCTTTATCTTCTAGGGTTGTATTACTTTTCACCGCTAGATTTTGAAGAAGCTTCAGGTGAGAGCCTTGGTATGTGCTACGTGAATGCTGGTATTTACGGCCTCGGATAATGATACTGAAAGCCAGCTTTGCGCCCTAGTAGTTAGTAATTCGTACTAAAAAACTACTAAAAGTAAAAGTACTAGCAAGTGTTAGTGTACTCACATACTACTCACTAGTAGACTCTTAAGGCATGCCAAAAAAAGGTGAAGAAAGGGATGCTTCGAGCAGAGTTTCAAGCCTCACTGGGAAGGTCACGGGTAGCGAGCATACTTTGGATACTTTTTTCCAAAGTGGGTAATGATTAGGCAGACAGATTGATTGGCTGGATCTGCACCACTGGGGGGGGGGGGGGGGGAAATAGAATACATGACAAGGCAGATGCGGTCAAGGCCCTTTGGGGACAAGCAACGGAATCAGTAGAGAAACAAGATTATTATGGCCTGGAGAGAATGAGGCACCTGGGTGTAACCTGAGAGTCAGGCCAGCTCACTACACTCAGAGGAAAGGCAAGACTGACATAAAACCAGATTGTATTGTGACCAGGACCATCAGTATTGGAACTCTGCATTGGCTGTTAAAGATGAGGATGGAGCACACATGGGAATACCCCAAGTGCTGTAATGTCAATTCTTGACTCAACTCAACTGTGCTAAAAGTACTAGTAGTAATACTAACTACTAGTAGTAATTTTTCAAAAATATCCTATGCAGTCCAATCCTTATAATTGGGATATATATAATGTTAATTGATTTCTCCGAGTATATATTTGTTATTCTGTATGTCATATATTTATTTAAATGACAGATACATAATTTGTATTGTTTTTTATTTTCTTTTGAGTTGTGATTATGATAGAAACTGTACCATGAATAATTGGACAATCTTACCAACATTGTGCCATTAACATGGCTGGAGTTATTATTCCCTTAGTGAAATAGTTAATTTTTCTCCTTGATTTAATCTTTAAAGAAAACTTCTTCAAAGAAAGTTTGGGCATTCTTTACCCTTCTGTACGTGGATTTTAGTTCTAGCAATAAATTGCTTGACCTTGCCAGATATGTCTCTGGGGCTGTTTATGTGCAACAAGTTTTCAGTCATCATTGGTCATTAACGGAGATTTAAAAAGTCAGTGGTTTTCTTTGGTTTTCATATTTCCTAGTTAATTTTTCTCCTTGATTTAATCTTTAAAGAAAACTTCTTCAAAGAAAGTTTGGGCATTCTTTACCCTTCTGTACGTGGATTTTAGTTCTAGCAATAAATTGCTTGACCTTGCCAGATATGTCTCTGGGGCTGTTTATGTGCAACAAGTTTTCAGTCATCATTAGTCATTAACGAAGATTTAAAAAGTCAGTGGTTTTCTTTGGTTTTCATATTTCCTACACACCGTCAGATTTGTATACACATTCTGATCCTAATCAGCAATCCAATTTTAGCGCAATAAGCAACACACTGCGGGTACAACAGGGGAGGAAGTGGATCTATACATGTTTTCCACATACAAGGAAGAAACTGTGTTGGCTGGTCCTTTGAGTTTTCTGGTCACAGGTTGTGTTATATTCAGGATGTTGATAAAAGCTTTGGTCGAAACATTCAGTTTTTATACTAGAGACATCACTGCAGATATAGATAATCTATTTCAGGAGAACGAAAGAAGAAGAACATTAAGTTGTATTTGTATGCGTATTTTCCATTTCCTCCGAAGAACTTTCTAGTCCCATTTTATGTTGTATTTAGCACTTATTGAAAAAAATATGTTGTTTGATGCTGACTTTAAAATGGACGTTGGCTGGCAGGGATATGTGCATCCAGTGCTGTCTCTGAGAATATCACAGAATGAGGCCCCAAAATCTTCAACCATATGACCCTCACATCACTATCTGATATCCGTGACAACAGGTTTTGAATTGGTTATGTTATTCTGTGTCAGATTAAACATTTCATTGTTGAAGTGTTATTTGTAAATATTTCGCTTCCTTTTCTTCTTCGATCCTTCTGCCATAAAATATTTCAGGAGGCTGGTAGCCTTTATGAAAGCTATCGTGCAGTCCATATCCTGTTGTGTACCCTACAACTATGTTGTCTTCACCAAGGTTAGAACAGGCCAAGTTGTGCCTCTGTTGTCAGTGTTATAGCACATGCTCAGCATTTTCTGGTACCACGCTGCAGGGGCACATCTTTATGTTTCTTACATCAACAAATTTGAACATAGCGAGTCTGCAGATAAAATATGGTGTGTGTATCCAGCCACCCTTCTTGGATACTAGAAAAATATGTTTCACTGATTTTATAGTAAATCATGGAAAAAACAATGTTCGAATTCACATAGAAACATTTAGTTTCTTTCTGTTTGACAGCCAGCATTTGTTAACCATAGAGTTCCACGATGCCAGCATGGACTGTTCGATTAGAAGGTGGACCAAAGCGTGTGAATCATGCAGCTGTGGCCATCTATAATAGAATATTCTCTTTTGGTGGCTACTGTACTGGTGAGGATTATGAGATGACTAGACCTATGGATGTTCACGTGTTGAATACAGGTTTGTTTCTGTGACTGTTGTGTTTAGAGTTTACAACTGGTGAACGCAAAGAAGACGAAGAAAAAGGAGTTTAATGCTACACTCTCTTCATGTTTATTGATATATCTGTATATTTCAAGACAAAAAAAATGTAGGTAAATCAGTTGTTAAAACATTAATGACCTGTATTAAATGTTTTTTAAACACATTTTTTTAAAGTTCTTGACTCAGTTTCTTTAGCGTTCATGGAGCAAAAGGTTTAAAGGACCCTTTCTCACATCAGACGGGCCTGCGTGCCCAATTTGTAACCCTTTGAAAATAAAGTTTGTTCATTCGTTCGTTCGTTCGTTTAGACCAAAATGTCTGCACTGAGTAGGTGATTGTGACCACCTTTACTTCCTATGGCATTTCATGGTATCCATTTTAGCCAAGGTTTGTTATGAAAATTCTGCCTGATTCAAACCTAGGACCTTTGGGTTGGCAGGCTTGATGTGTCCAAGAATGGAGTCATATTCATGTTCAGAAGTGATGAGAATAAATCAAGCAAACAATATTTCCCTTTTTGAAGCCCTATTTCAAGAGGTCAACTCTTACCTGTTTAGTTAGCAATGTAGAAAAAGATAGTGGAACAGAGGTATAGAAATAAGAATTCAAAAACAAAAGCACTAGCAAGTCTGTGGATGTCCTCAACAAAATTAAACCTAGTACCCAATTTTGAATATCTAACTCTTAGTATAAAAACTAAGACAATAGCTTTGTCATTATTCTATTAGCCAAAAGGCCTACTCTGCCATTTGGGGTATCTTCTTCTTCTTTTCGTTCACCAGCTTTAAACTCCTGCTGAAAGTTCTGGTCGTTCATCCACTTCTGGACTTTAGTCCTTGTCCAGAAACAGAGCGTTGCATGCACATCCATTTTACAGGTCTGAGTCATTTGCATGCAGACTATTGGTTCCTTGCCTCTCAGGCAGATGTACTCTGACTTGGAAGGTAGCTCCCGATTAGTCGACTCTTAAAACATGCTTTTAGGCAGGCAAGGGGTCTATTCTTGTTTTCTTCACAATAGGGCCCCAAAATCCACACAAGGTGTTTTTGTGTGTGTGTGTGTGGTGGGGGCGGGTATGAAATGCCAGGTTTTCAGGACCATGACAAAAATGTGGTGTGGTGATCAGTTCTCGCCCTGACAGCCTTTCACTGCCAGGCTAATCCTTAAAAAATCTCAGATGGAAATATCTGAAGAACATGTTTGTTTGCAGTAACATATAAATTGTCTGGACCTCTATGATTAGAAGAATTAAAATGAGCAGAGGCAAGTTTGGTAATTTGTTGGGCATGCATGCTGGCAGTCCTTTGTCAGCTTATTTTAAGAATACTTGTATGTTTTTTGTTTTTATTGGTTGAATATTAATTAGCTTGATATCAAAGAAAACTGGCTCATAGATGGCATGTTTTCTTAAATTAATATGTTGTCGGACATACCTTGGCCATACTAAGCATTGTTTTAGAAAGAACAATGATGAAGATCATTATTATTGGGAGAGTGGCTTAGAGATTAGTGAATGTGTTTAACAATTTCATAATCCTCAAGTACTAGGTTTGATTTCAACTGCAGATGGTTAATTGAAAAATTTTCAGTAACACACATTGGAAGTGATGACACAGTTAGTGATGAACACACTGAAAACAACAAACACATGACATGCCTAGAACATTGCAGTTTTAGTGTAATGAACACTAACCCTAACCCTACCCCCCCCCCCCCCCCCCCTCCCCTCTTCCCCTTTCCCATACCAGGGCTTATCAACTAATTTTACTCAGGAGCCAAAATTCTGAAAATGTGGATTGTCATGAGCCAGAAGCCACAGACCAATTATTTAAAGCTTATTGATACAGTACAGCTGACAAAGATCTGCGGGTCGCCCGTTGAATAGCCCTGCCCTATACTATAGGACCTTACAGAGAAACACCCTAGGAATTCCTTACCAAATCTCACAGCTGTCGAGATGGGGGGAGGGGGGGGGGGGGGGGAGCTATAAGGAACCAAACATTCTTACTCTAAAGTACAGACAAAATAGAATAAAAAGTGATAAAATAACAACTGAATTGATTTTGAGGAGTGGCTGGCCAAACGGTTAAGAATGCTTTGCTCTCATGCGGGAGACTAAGGTTCAAATCTTCGGTAAGGTTGTGAATTTGTTTCTATCGGTGGCAAAAATAAAATCCTCACCAGCACAGTACAGGTTAACAGCTTTAGCCATGTGGCCCGAAATCATCAGGCTCAAATAATCTTGTGCTTACCTGCACAAGTGGTAAATGCATGCAGTAACTGAATTAATTTTTTTTTGGCGGGGGGTACTGAAATAGTTAATTGGTTTTGATTTTTGTACCAGGGCAAGATGGACTGATGGTCAGACTTCATTCACATAAATGCCCAGACTGTTGTTTCTGTCTTTCTCTATATTCTGTACCTGGTATTGTGTGTACAAGTTTTGTGTTTCTACTTATGCTTCTTCACACACTTTCAGTCATGCTCTGTCATCTTGTTGTACTGTTTGTATGTTACATAGGGCTCACGGTATATTTTGTATTCAAATGTCAACATGAATATATTTAAAGAAAGCAGCAGTCAATTGATGTTTGCTAATATCTATTATTTTCTAATGTGTAAACTCTATAGCTACAGAAAAATTGTTATTGTTTTTCAGTGACCCTTCGTTGGACACTTTTACCACTTCCTAGCACAGCGAAAGACATCAGCAACACCCCATTTCAGCGTTATGGGCATACAGCTGTGGAGTACGAAAATAATGCATATATTTGGGGAGGACGAAATGATAGTGTTGGAGCCTGCAATACTCTTTTCCGATTTAATGGTGGTAAGAGGCTAATTACTACTAAAATTAAAGGACCCTTTTCCACGCCTTTTAGGCGTATTGGGTATATAGGGCTAGACGTATATTTTATAGACAAAATGGCACTTGGTGGGTGATGTGGCCAGCATCATGCCGGCCACTTTCCGGGACTGTACCTGGTACCCACTCAAGGCTGGGTCGACCTTTGAGCCAAGGTCATTTTTGAAAAAAGTCCGGCCCCTGTCAGGAACCGAACCCATGACCTTCCGATCCATAGGCGAGTGTCTAGCCGTTAGACCACGATGGCTATAATTACTAATAACTACTAGATTTTCTAATTATACGATGCTGTCTGTTGCCTAATTCATCAATCTTTCAGTGAATCAATCAGTCAAATGTCATCTCCAAAAATTATGGTTGGCTGTATTGTTTCTCAAACACTGTTGTCTCTTGTCCTAGTTGTACACTCTCTCGGATGGCTCTGTATCTGTCTGTAAGTTATCTTCCTATTTGCTTTGCTATCTGCCTCTTTCCTGCTTGCTTTTTCTCTCCAGTTTACTTTTAAAAGAGTACCATGCAGTCCCATGATAATTAGGGGTGTCATAGTGCATAATCTGATAAACGAGAAGAAGGAAAGATAGCAGAATACTTCCAAGAGACTTTAAATAGACTTAGTCCTCAAGAAGCAATGAATTTTGATGAAGAGGCAAAAGGGACATAGCTAGTTAGTCTTTCCTCTTGGACCTAAGCGGCACATAGGGCAGAGGTCATAACTCTTCATGTCCTGCGGTTTGTTGCCACCTGCTTTAGGTTGTGGATGTTTGTTGGGCCCATGGTTTAACCTTTCCTGATTATGGTTCTATGTAGAGTCTCTCTTGGTCTTCCTTGTTTTTTTTTTCCCTTCCAGTGTCCATATGAGGACTTGATGGAGAATTCTTGTCTTATCCATTCTGAGTGCATGTCCTATGTAGTGACTACTTTACTAATAAATGTAGGGCAGTTAAACATGACAGAAATCAAAAAGGCAATTGATTACTTAGCAAACTATAAGGTAGCAAGTGATTATGGTCATAGTACTGCAGAAGTGTTCAAAAAAGTGGATGGTGAAACTATAAACTGAATGATAGATAGATCTGTGTAACAGAATATGAGAAAGAAGAAAAATATCAAATACATGAAAGAAAGGTATATTTGTTACAGTTCCTTCTTGTTCGTTCCTCTTTACATTCACCAGCTTTAAACTCTGTTGGAAAGTTCTGGTTGCTCATCCACTTCTGGACTCTAGACCTGTTCCAGAACCTGACTGTTGTGTTCACATCTGTTTTACATATCTGGATTGTTTGTATGCGGACTGTTGGTTCCTAACCTCCCAGGCAGATGCACTCAGACTTTGAAGGAAGCTTCCAGTTAGTTGACTCTTATGACGTGCTTTTGGGTAGACAATGGGACTGTTCTTGTTTTTCCCACAATGGGGCCCCCACACAGGAAAAAGGTAATCTTACTGACTGTTAACAACTGGAGAGGAATTGTTGTTAACATTAGTCAGAAGCAAAAGGTACAAACAATGCCATACACATCCTCAGGACTCTTTTGGAAAAAGCTATAGAAATAAAAAAAAAAAACTTTACTTATGCTTCATTTGACTGTGTGAAACATAAGGAAATAAAGTATTGGAGAAGCTAAACATTGATGGAAAAGATTTTCAAATTAAAAAGAACATGGATTGACAGCAAACAACAGCTGTAAAAATTAATAACAGTTTGGGAACATTTCAGAACATAAAGAGGTCAGTAAGACAAGGATGCATACACTATCACCCTGTTTGTTTGCATTATACAGTGAATATAAAATGATCTATCATGGATATGCCAGGAATTGTGGTTGGTGGTCATAACAAAAACAACTTGCATTATGCTGATGACATCACCTTGATAGTGACATGGCAGAAAGAACTACAGGCATCGCTAGAAACAGTGGTTGTAGAAAGTGATAAAATGGGCCTAAGTTTGAATAATGGAAAGACAGAAGTAATGGTGATTTCCAAGAAAAGAATAGTGCCTTTATGTATAATAAAAGTCAAAGACGTTATTTTTAGGACAGGTACACAAATTCAAGTATCTAGACACATGGAAGATGTATCACAGAGATAAAGAACAGATTAGGATAAGCAAAAAACTGCATTGTATCAAATGAAGAACATTTTTTGCAATAAATCCATGTCATTGGAGGTTAAGAAAAGAATTCTCGCATGCCATATAGAGCCAGTTTTAACCTACGGCTGTGAAACCTGGACAATTAATAAACAAGCTGAACAATATCTTGAGGCCTCGGAGATGTGGTTTTACAGAAGAATCCCTAGAATTCCTTGTACTGCTAAGAAGAGCAACCCAGATGTTTTGAAAGAGGCAGGTGCTCAGAGACTTATCAACTTATCACAAACATCAGAAAGAGAAAGTCATCATTTGTTGGTCATATTATGAGAAGAGGGAAAATGGAAGTGGAAAGTGACCACTGTAAAGATCTGTGGAAAGAAAGACCGAGGAAGACAGCATGAGAAGAGTCTTGACGGCCTTTTGTCATGGCATGGATGGGTGTCGACACACAAACTGATACATGCAGCTGCTGATCACAGATTGTGGAGAGGCATGATCGCCCACACCAGTCGGCAAAGCACTTGATGAGGATGAGCCTGTCGTATCCAAGATTTTTGTGTAAAGACCATAACTGCTTGATGTGGTTGAATGACCTGTTCTTTTCCTCATCTTTTCCAACTCACGAAGTTGGTGAATCATAATTGTTAATTTTTTAATGATACTTTTTTCAGCGGACTTCAAGTGGGACAGGCCGGCAGTCAGTGGCTTAGTTCCAGAGGCTAGGGATGGCCATTCTGCCTGTGTTGTCAATCATAACATGTACATTTATGCAGGTTATGAGGAGTTTGTGAGTATTACTTTCTCTCTGCAATGCTACCGCACATTAGGTATTTAACAATATGCAGAATGGTAGATTTGTCTTGTTGGTCTGCCAGTCAGATTGAGATTTTGTAATCTCAGGGTGTCAGACCTTCAGCTAGCAGCCCAGAGGGGATATGTTATGGCACGGCACATATGACAGATCATAACTCTGATTTCTCTTCACAGTATAACTCTTCACAATATAACTCTTTACAATATAACTCTTCACAGTATAACTCTTCACAGTATAACTCTTCACAGTATAACAATCTGTTGATTTTCATACACTTTAAAGTGAGGGAAAAAAACCATAACTTCTGTCTGTTTAATCACTTTTTAGGGTGGTATAGGCAGGGGTTTCTTGAGCCTAAGGATTTAGAGCCGCCTGACTAGTGCTGTTGCCACAGACTGTGCAGGTTAGGATGTTAAATTTTGCCCCCAACAGAAAAACTCCATCACCTTACTGGGGTTGAACTTGGGTCTCCCGACATTGTAACTGCTCGGCCAGCCACTCCTCATAATTTAAACTGTTGCATGAAATAGCTTGTGTTTACCTTTCTTAGTAATTATATATTCTTATATAAGTTAGTTCTGTATCCTTTACACGATGTTGCAAAACCAAACCCCAGCATTTTTTGGCAGTGTGATTTTTCTAGGCAAATTTTACGTTCATAGTTTGCCATTGCTTCTGAACGGTCAGCTCTCGGTACCACTGTCAAAACCCACTCAAGACAAACCGTCCACAGCTGGGATTGAACCTGGCACCCTGGCATTTCTTCTTATATATATATATATATATATATATATATATATATATATATATATATATATATATATATATATATATCTTTATATGACATAATTTGTGCTTTGGTTATGAAGGATTTACTTAATTGCTTCACTTTATTTAGTTTTTACTCAAGTATGCACCTGATGGGATACAGCAAAATATGCCAGGCAATAAATTGTGTAGTCTATTGTTTGTATCTTCTTTGTTCAGATTTATAACGGGTAAACATTGCTTGGAATAAGAGAAATAGGCAGCCACTGGTATCAACAGTTATAAGACAGAGAAGATGGTGCTAGACTGGACATATTTTGAAAAAGACGAACAGAGAGAAACACAAAACAGGCACCGAAAATGAGAAATAGAGGGGTTAAGGAAATGAGGACATCTAAGATGGACCTTAATGCGAGCGTTTATGACAGAGGTCAAAGGTGGTGACCTGGATTCCATCCATGGTATCAAAGTGAGTGCACAGAATACAACAGAATAGAGGGATAGACTCATTATAATCTCAGCCACAATCACCCTTTTCTTTGTGCAATCAGGGAAAAGTCTACAGAAGGCTTGGCATGTGTGGATAGAGAGTTGTGCCCCATTTTTGGATGAAAGGCAGAGGAAGTAGCTCTGTATGTTACACACCTTCATTAAAATAAAAATGTGTCCTCTCAAAGCATTGAGTTACTGCGCCATGCCTTGTTATTCAGGAAATTAGCACTGGGGTGATTTGTCCTACTATTTTATTCCTCTACTATTCTTCATTCGGTGTAGTTGACCCTAAAGCTAGCCTCATCAGGTTTTGATAGTTGTTTCAGGTCTTTTCAGATGGGCCAGTTTTTATAAATAAATATTTTTCTCCACAGACTGACCGTTTCTCAAATGATGTGCACTGTCTGAATTTACAAACATTTGCATGGACAGAAATAATTGTTAGAGTAAGTTAAGTGTTTGCTGCTGGTGTTTATTTATTTTGTTTAAATGGTATTGGTACATGATTGTTTGGTTCACTTTAATAATATCAGTGGTATTTGATTCACTTAATATTATGGACAGTTGGTGAATTAGTGAAAACTTATTTGAAAGCTGCAGAGGTCTGGTTTTAAAGATGAATTATGAGAAAACATCTTACTCCAGATATACAACTATAGCTGGAAACTAGGCAGAGTCCCAGATATCTGGAAAAATGCTATAATCCACCCTATTCTCAAAAGTGGCAAGGACAAGAAGGACCCTCAGAGCTACAGGCCTGTCAGTCTGCTAAGCTGCCCCGCAAAACTGATGGAGAGAGTGCTAGCCACCAGACTTCAGTGGTTCCTAGAAACCAATCACAAACTGGATCCCGCTCAGACAGGCTACCGACAGCACAGAAGCACTGATGACCAGGTAGCATACCTTACACAGGACATAGAAAATGGCTTCCAGGAAAAGAAGAAAACCCTCACAGTCTTTTTCGATATGTCCAAGGCCTTTGACAAAGTATGGAAGGATGGCTTGATGCTAAAGCTCTTACATAGTGGAATAAGAGGCAGAATGTACTACTGGATACAAGACTTCCTATCCCACAGGCGGGCATCTGTGAAACTAGATGAAGCACATAGTCCCAGATTCAAGCTGAGAGCAGGAGTACCACAGGGTAGTGTACTGTCTCCAGTCCTGTTCCTGATCTACATCAATGACCTACCTCAAGCTTTACCCAGACATGTATCACATTCTCTTCATGCAGATGACCTAGCTGTGTGGTACACCTCTGAGTTCATTGGACCTGCTATATCAAAACTCCAGGAAAGTGTGAATAGTGTCATAAACTGGGCCAACAAATGGGGCCTCGAAGTAAACAGGAACAAAACTGTAGCAACACTCTTCTCATTGTCTACAAAGGAGGAAAAGTTTACATTAAAATTCAACAATGATGCTGTTCCACGCTCCAATACTCCAACCTTCCTGGGAGTCAAGCTTGACAGTCGTCTGACATGGAAACATCACATACTAGAAACTAACAAAAAAGCCATGAGAAAACAAGGTGTGATGAAGAAATTGGCAGGCACCACTTGGGGAGCAGACAGTTGTATCTTGAAGCAGGTATATACCGGCACAGTCAGACCAACTCTTGAATACGCATCATCGTCATGGATAACAGCAGTCCGTTCCAATAAACAGATACTAGACAAAACGCAAAATAGAAGTCTGCGTACAATTCTGGGAGCCATAAAATCTACACCTATTGTAGAAATGGAAAAGGCAGCCAACATCATCCCCTAAGAAGAAAGAAGAAGGACAAACGCAATTCTACATGCTGAAAAAATGAAGAGAATGTTAAACCACCCATTACACGAAAAATTGGCAGCCAGGACAAAAAACAGAATAAAGCGCACAAGCCTAAACCATCTAACGAAGGAATTTGGAAAGTCATTCTCTTCACTACTTAACCAACAATGTACACCTGAAGAGCTATCTTTCGATCTCTGGGACTCCGAATTATTGACACTCAATGTGTCAACATCCATCCCGAACCTGGGAAACAAAGATGCTGAGCCCGCTTTAGTGAAGAAAGCACTCACAATGGAACACCTCAACAACATGTTCCCACAGGACAGCTGGACAAGAATCTACACCGATGGATCAGCAAAAGAGGCAACTACGAATGGTGGGGCAGGTGTCTACATAAAACACCCAGATGCCACTACTGTGTCCCTAGCAGCCCCCACCGGACGAACTTGCTCTAACTACAAGTCTCAGCTCTATTGATGGCAGCACAGTATATGAACAATCTGCAAATCACCGCAGGCAGGATAGTTTTTCTCACTGACTCACTGTCAGCTGTACAGGCCCTTGAGTCCAAACCTACCGACAGCACACTACAAAGTATAACACAGGAACTTGCTATGTTGTCAAATAAGGCAGAAATTCACTTGCAGTGGATTCCGTCTCACTGCGGCATCAAAGGCAATGAAAGCGCAGATGCTTTAGCCAAGGAAGGCAGTAACAAACTACAGACCTACCAGCCACTATCTTTTCCAGAAGTCAAAACTCTCATTAAGAGAAAATCAGAAACAGACTGGAAAAACAACACTGGTTATGACTACGGAAAAGATTTTCTGAGGCACTTGAACAGAACAGACCAAGTCACAGTTTTTCGCTTACGCACTGGACACTGCAGACTCAATAAACACTCATATAAATTAGGTATGAGCCAAACAGCTCTCTGCCAGTGTCTTCGTGCTGAACAGACTCCAGAACATGTCCTGCAAGACTGTCCTCTCCTGGCGGAGCGACATATGGCAACACCCAGTAGAACTGACAACTAAGCTTTGGGGAAACCTAAGAGACCTTGAAAAGACATCCCAGTTTATGACCCACAGTGGATTATGCGCATGACCAGAGATCGCTGAAGAAGAAGAAGAAGAATTATGAGAATACCCTGGACAGATAAAAGAGTAATGAAGATGTCTTTAAATAAACTGGCTCACAAAGAGAAATAATAGCCCACACCAGAAAGAGACAATCTATATTCTTTGGTCATCTGATGAGAAGAAGAAAACTGGAGTACATCGTGCCAGCAGGAAAGTTGGAGGGAAGGAGAAGCAGAGGGAGACAGACAGAAAAGATGCTGGACAGTTTGACATCATGGCATCAATGATAATCAGAATTGATTCAAAGTGCACAAGACAGAAGGTTGTGGATAGACATGACTATTAATGCCACGCGGCATAGACTTAGAGAAAAATGATATTATCATTGACTGATGTGGTCAGTATCTTGCTGGCCATCATCTTTACTTCCTGCCTCAACAGTCTTGGATTTACCAGATTGTGACCGGTACCATCAGTTTTGAAACACTGTGCTGGCTGCTGAAGTTGAGGACGGAGCACGCGTGGGAATGCCTCAAGTGCTGTGATGTCAGTTCTTAACTCAACTCAACTCAGTTTTGGATTCACGCCCGTGTGTAGGTGGATTTTTATCATTGACCTAGGCTCTCACGTGTTCTTTTTTATAATCCATGCCATTTGACTTTAGAAGTCATATCTATCCGCTGCCCATGAGGGCTGCAGGCTCCATTTTGGGGAGAAACTGAATAACAGTACGTTAGCAGTATTTGTAAAGGCATACTGTACCTTTTGGGTTTCAGTTCATAAGGTAAATCACCACAACATGTTTTTAAAATGTAGCTGGTGACCTAGCTTAAAATGTGTAGGAACTGGCCCAGAGAAGTAAAGATATTGACTACATTACTCACTGAGAAATGAATGGACTATCAAAATTTGAATCTATTATGTGTGCCCAATGGGAGCCAGGGTAGTGTAGCGGCTAGACACTTGCCTGCCGGTCAGAAAGTATTGGATTTTGAATCCACAGCTTCCCATGTAGGTACTGGGACCCCTTTAGTGAAAAAAACAAGAATTGAGCCGCTATCACTCCAACAAGCACGTTGTAAGAGTTGACCAACTGGAGCCTTCCTTCGAAGTGCATCTGTCTGAAAGGCAAGGAACAAACAGTCTGCATACAGTTAAGTCAGATCTGTTAAATGCATGTACACACAGTACTCATAGGTGGACAGATAACCAGAACTTTCTGCCAGAGTTTACAGCCAGCGAACATAAAGAAGAAGAATCCAAAACGTTGGATTTTTATCAGAAGTAACCTTGGCTGATTGTCAAACTAGCATGAAATGGATGCCATGTAATGTCCAGGGAAGTAAAGGTGGTTGGAGCCGTGTTGATTGACTACATTACCCCCCCCCCCCTTTTCCCCCCCTCCCACCACCCCAAGTGTCTAGCATCACTGGCGTTGAAAAAAAAACTTTTTTAGGGGTGTCCTTTAGTTTCCTTTATGTCCAAAAGACCTAATTAATTACCTACAAAAAAACCTCTTTTCAGGGCAAACCAGCCAGGTGGAGGGACTTTCATACTGCGACAGCTATAGGAAACATCATGTATGTATTTGGTGGTCGTGGAGATGTATGCGGAGACCGGTTCACAAACAACGAATTCTACTGCAGTAAAGTACGAGCATTTGATACCAGCTGTAACACCTGGTTGCCACCTTCACTGTTTCCACAGGCTGCACCCGAGGGAAGGCGGAGTCATTCAGCTTGTAGGTTGCCTGTGGTGGAATGTGTGTGCAGTTTGCTTGTAAGTTTTGTTATAAAGATTTGTATTGACCAGATATTTGGAAAAGGAATGTAGGGTCTCCTCAACCGACGACCAAGTTCCATTCTGGCTAATAAGTCGTAAGTCAAACTGAATATGTATTTCTTAACACTATTTTTTTTTTTTAACGGATTATAAAAATTGTTACTTAAAACACAAAATTCAGTCTGTGTACATATAATTACAGCCTGTGTACAAATAATTACATCTGTGTACATATAATTACAGTATGTGTACATATAATTACAGTCTGTGTACATATAATTACAGTCTGTGTACATATAATTATTGTACAGGGGCATCAGAGTACACTCTGGGCATCAGTTCTGGGAACTTTTTAACCCTACTAGTAATCTTTCTTTATTTACTTTTTCTGTGTGTGTGTTCGTAAATGCGGAAAGTCGTAAGTCATATAAGTTGTAAGCCAAGGAGCAGTATTCTGCAGTCATCACAGTGTTTTTTCTCATACTGTTCTGTTCTTTTAGATCAAATTGTTGTGGGAGACATAAGGCACGTATGTGTGCTCTTTCTATTATGTTGATCATCATGATTTGCCTGAAGAAAAATGCCTGTATGCTGAGAAATAAAATAAAAAATTAAAAACAAATTTGATAGTAAACTAATGAAGAGACAGTAAAATAATATAAATGCTAAATGTCACTAGACAGGGAAGAAGATAATTAATGCAATAAAATAACAAGTAGGGTCTGCTTATTGTGCAAACCATAACTCTTTTGCCCGGAGATGCCTCTAATCCGGCATCGCTACTTGTTACAAATCCATGTAACAGCTGCTAAACCAGCATTGCTACATTGGTCTGCCCCTGACAGCCCAGTTTGCACAGTATTTGGGATTCTTGGATATGATTATATTTACAACAACAAAAAAATAGCAATAAGGGGGGATTTTATTGCACAAAAAACTTGAGTATGAAGGTATAATTTGATGAAATCTTAACAGTCAATGAGTTCACATTATGAGTTACTGTATACATTTTTTAAGGCTTAGGGTAATGTATTTACTTTTCCACTCTGTTTTTGTTTATTGCCTAATAATTATGGTTACATAAATAAATTTGTTTTAAATGTATGTCTGTGTAATCCTGGGCTCGATTGAGGAGAGAATTGAATAGAACCCCTTCCCCCCAACAAGTATGGCATAAAAGTCAACTAATTAGGGATGTTTCTTTTTAAGTAAGAGTACATACTCTTGAGAGGCAAGGAACCAGCACTCATCATATCATACTTGCACACGAGTTTTGGAACAAGGCTTGAGTTAAAAAGTTAAATGTTGAAGTTGAGAAGATCGACTTTAATGCACCGGGTTTTATCCCAGCTCAGTTTTTCTTCGCAGAACAGCTAGTCGCTTTTCGAGAACGCTGCAACAAGGCACGAAACGATAGCTTCATTGACATTTTCCAAGGTCTCTGTAAAAGCTGCAGTCATGAACTGAATGACGCAGCAATGAAACGAATCCACAACCTTTGGAGCATGAAGCAAACAGCCAGAACTTTCCACCAGAGTTTGCAGCTGGTAAACGCAAAGAAGAAGGAGATCTGTAAAATATTTTTTTAAATTGTTTGCTGACTGTTACATGTGATGCTGTAAATCCAAATGGCTTGTGAACATTATTTTTGCAGATGAATATGTTTCTACATGGTTTATGAACACTTACTTACTTAGTCGCTTCTCTTCTACCTTGGGTTGTAGAGGTTTGCCAGAGAGATCTCCAGACATCTCTATCAGCAGTTTTCCTTTTGGCTTTGTTCCATTCAGGTCCTCTGTCAGTTAGGGACTGTCGGATGTTGTCTTCCCAGCACACCCTGGGTCGTCCTGGAGGTCTGGTTCCCTGGTTCTTAGCCTCCCATGCCTGCCATGGTGGCCGATTTTCTCCCATTCTGCATACATGTCCAAACCATCGTAACTGTGACTGATCAACTCAGGTTTGTAAGGACTGGGTATCAAGATCTTGTCATATTGTCTGATTGCAGACTTTGTCCCTTCTTGTCACTTGGACCACCTTTCTCAGATATCTCAATTCCAAGGCCTGCAGCTGGCTTCTGTGAGCTGTTGTCATTGCCCATGACTCACATCCATAGGTCAGGACTGGTACATAGGTAGAGTGGTCAACAGCCATTTTCGTCCTCTTGCCAATTTATTTTTTGCTAAGAAACCCTCGGTTTATGGCCTGGAAGAGTCTTCCAGCAGCTGCTTTTCATGTAGGCAGCTCAGTCTTAATGCCTCCATTTCGGTCTAATACAACTCCAAGGTATTTGAACTGGTTAACCAGCTCCAATGCATACTGTTCCATCATGATCTGGTGTTTCTTCTCCTCTCTTGAGATCACCATGGTTTTAGTTTTGGAGATACTCATGGTCATCCCTCTCTTTTCAAGCTCTTCCTTACAGACAAGTAAGTGCTTATGAACATCTGAACATATTTTTTGTTGTTGAGTATATCTCTACAGGGCTTAGGAACAAAAGAACATGATATTTGCAGTTCAGTACATTTCTGCATAGTTTGTGAACATCTGAAAAATTATATTTGAGTTGAATACAAAGGATTAATCTATGCGTTTTTGTGTGAACATCTGAAAATCATATTTGCAGTTGAATACAGAGGATTAATCTATGTGTTTGGTGGCTACAATGGGAGGCTAGAGTGCCATTATAATGATCTTCACCAGCTTGACCCGAGTAAGTATTGTGTTTACATACATAAGTCACCAGTTACACATACAATCTGACTGTTCAAAAATTATTTTATTATAACCAAAACAAAAATGCCATCATTGAAGCATGTCATGTAAACAAGCACAACTAGTAAAATTATAACACTGCTCTGCCAGCAGACGCCAAGTAACCTGTCATTTCGTTTAACGAATGAAAGTTGAGTCAAAATGTATGCAAACCTGGAGACAGGGGTGAACATTAATTGCAGTTCAAACCCGGACAATGCTCTTGAGACCGTTCAATTGTTGAGTTTATGACGACTAGTGTTTTTCAAATTCAATATAATATTAATCTGCCATTGACCTCAAGTATTGATTCTCTGACTTTGGTAATGAGTTTTCCAGTATGAACTGAAATTGGACGTCCTGGCCCAGTTTCATCTTCAGTCTTTTCCACATTTTTAAGTCATGATTACCACCTCATGCATAAGATAAATGTTGATCCTCATAAATGTATCTACTTAATTTAACTTCTCTGGGTAGTAAGATTGGGCGCTTATGTGTATTATTGCGCACGTAACAAAAAATCCCTTGGTTGTTGGAAATTGAAAAAGAGTAGTCTAACGGCACTGCCTGGGCAAAATTTGGAGTTTAAAAATCTACTCAAAGTATTTCAGGATCCTTGTTAATGCTACGGAGTTCGTGCACCACACTGAGATTCTTCAGACTCAGGCTTGAGTCAGAAGTAGAGCAGAGCACTTATGGGTTACTACACTTATGCCATGATGTTAATCCCTCATCTGAACCTAAACTTAATTTAACTTTTCTTTGAGCTCTGTTAAAAATCATAGTAGCATAAATAGAACAATAGTCGAAGGCAGCATTCTTGGAAGAAAAGGCAGGGATCAACCAGCACACAAGTTGGCACAGGGTATTTTGGGTCAGAATGTTCATGAGGAATGGGAAATGGCAAAAGATTGTAAGTCTTTCTGGTAGTCAGTTACGAGAGCAGTCATCTGGCGGTCAGTTATGAAAGCAATCATCTGGCAGTCAGTTACGAGAGCAATCATCTGGCAGTCAGTTACGAGAGCAATCATCTGGCAGTCAGTTACGAGAGAAATCATCTGGCAGTCAGTTACGAGAGCAATCATCTGGCAGTCAGTTAAAGAGCAATCATCTGGCAGTCAGTTATGAGAGCAATCATCTGGCAGTCAGTTATAAGAGCAATCATCTGGCAGTCAGTTATGAGAGCAATCATCTGTAAAGGAACTGCTACATGAACGATTGACTTTTTTTTAAGCAGAAAAAGATAATCATTTGTTTTGTCTTGCTCTGTAGTAGTACTTTTCGTTTCTTTATATTTGCCACTGACTAATGTATTTTCTTTTTCAATGACTCTTCCAGCTACGATGATGTGGTGTAAGCTAAGTGTACCAGGCATCTGCCCAACCCCTCGAAGACGCCAGTGCGCATGTGTGGTGGGAAGTAAGGTTTATTTTTTTGGTGGGACGAGTCCAAGAGATGTGTCTGAAAGATTAAATTCACCTCAGCAGTCGGAATCCAACCTCATTGACAGATCAGATTTGTATATTCTGGATTTGGGTAATTATGAAATTTAAATAATTCAAACAATACAGTGCATACTTTATTTCTAGGCATAATTATACTGTTTCTCTGTAGGTGCATTACTGAAGCATTACAGCAGCATGCAACGAAGCACAAAAGTTCAACAAATTTCACTGAAACAAACAAGTCATATAACTTCCCAAAGATGTTTTGTTCCTTTTGTCAGCTGAAGTTCACACCAGTCATGTGACTTATCTGGGTAGCTTCAAATTTATAATGTGCCTGGCAGTAAATTGTGCAATGTATTCTTTGCATTTGCATTGGTTATATTCACTATAGAAAAACATTGTTTTCACTATTAAATTATTAGATATGTTTACAGTAAACACAGGTGCAGTCTTGAAAACAGTGGGTTTGATTTATATGTACAATAATGTTTTCTTGGAGCCATTTATTCTCACTAATATATTTATTCAGTAAAATATTCATGTATAATAGTTATATTCATTTAAAAAAAATTAATTTGGGATTAGTCTTAAGCCCTCCATGTAGAATTTAGAGATAAGACTACACTACAAGTGTCACACCTCCATCATTCCTGTTCTCAAAGATACTTGCAGAATCAGCATTGTTCCTTGCCAGCTGGCATAGGCATTCATGCATCTCCACAGATCTCAGTCTTTGGTGTTCTGGACCAGTTCCACTGATGATATTCCTCCATGACATTGTCTTAAGCCATCTACCATCATTTCTCTTGATCTGCATCTACCAGCGATCTTTCCAGTCGTCACAATATTTTCCAGTGCTCATTTTCTTATCACATGATCAAAGACCTTTGTTTGTCTCCTTCTCATTGTTGTATATAATGTTCTACTTTCATGAGCCATTTTCAGGCAGCCATTGTTAGTTATTCTGGCAGTCTAAGGTATTCACAACATTCTTCTCAAGAACCACATCTCTGCATATTCGAACCTAATACCTTCAGGCTGGCAAGCATGCATCTATTTTGAACCACTTAAATTTTTTTTGCATTATTCTGATTCAACCTCAGATTTGCTGGCACTGTTGGATTTTGAGTTTGTATTTAATTTTCAAAATTCCCCCCCCCCCCAAATTTGAAGTTAACCATGTTATTGATCCCCCCCCCCCCCCCCCCCCCCCCACCCTTTTAAATATAAAATTAACATTGCAGCACCAACCCTGAGTCAGATGCAGAGAATAAAAGGTTTCAGTGGGTAATAAAGAAAATGGCTACAATTTATGAAGTCATGCCATGAAAGAGTAACTTCCCTTGCCATTCATCCCTCGTCATTTCGCAGGGCCTCTTCTATGTTGTGAGGCTGTCACGCTTAGTGAGCGTCCAGCAACACAATGAATTTTACACGTTGTTGTCACCGGCCTGCAGTATCATGTGTTGTATATTCTACGATGTGAGCGCTTTTAATGGTTCCAAAACATGTAGAACTGGCCCTAACCCCCCCCCACCCCCACCCCCCCACCCCTTCCCCACAGCCTCAGCCAATGTCCCACAAGAGAGTGCAGCCTGTCCTACGACTGCATGCAGCTTGACAACAGTGGCCAGCGGGTGCTACGGAGGTAGAAGTCCAACAGTTGATTTACGATAATTCTCGCTCAGATGATCTGATTATCTATACAGATGGTTCAGTGTTGAGTGGGGAAAGAAGTGCCTGGGGGTTTGAGCTGAAGCTGAAATAGTGTACTTGTATTTCTGTCACAAGAAGTGGAAGTTAACGTTTTTTCTTTTAAACTTTAAATTAAATGATTATTTCAGAACCAACACTGAAGACGCTTACATTAATGGTCATAATTGAACACAAACTAGACCGCAGTTGCCTGCCTCATGATCTCAGGTAAGACTTGATAGTGTTTGGATGTAGATGTGTCACAGTGTTGTTTTTTTTTTAAAGTGAGATTCCACTTGTGTTTTGGTTGGCGCAGTTCACTTTCCACTATTGGCAGGACTGCTCGGATCTTGCCCAGCCTTTATAGAATAGATCCACTGCTCCCCTAACAAGCATGTAGTAAGAGTCTACTAATTAGGGATGTTTCCTTCAAAGTCGGAGTGCATCAGCCTGAGAGGCGAGGAACCAACAGTCCTTATACAAATAAACCAGATCTGTAAAACGGATGTGCACATAAAACTCAGGTTCTGGAACAAGAGTAAAGTCTAGAAGTGAGTAACAGCCAGAACTTTCCTCCAGTGAACGCAGAAAAGAAGATATATTTTTGTTCACTACTCAAAAACAGCATTTGGCCAAGTAGTTTGAAGCTGGACTTTCATTCAGGAGAGCTCAATAAGGGACTGCAATTTTTTTCTTTTGGGCGAAAAAAGTAATATCTAGCCTGCGTGGTTCTTGGTGACCACTAACCATGTGGCCCTTAATCAGACCAGCAATGACACCAGTTTCATTAAGTTAGTCAGTAGCCTGTCCTTTGCAGAACCTTGCTTCCATAACAACCTTCCATAAAACTTCTTGATCACAACCAAGATGTCCTGCGTCCGATACACCCATCTGAGATCATCTGCCACATCCTGCAGTCATCTTCTATTTGGCCTTCCTCTTCCTCTCTTCCGAGGCATATACCCCTCTATTATTGTTCTCTCTAAACTTTTGTGATGTTTCAAGTGACCAGAATATTTTAGTTTTCTGTGTTTTATCATCTTTAATAGCCAACCTTCTTCAAAATTTAGTTTTTGAAGTATGGTTACTATACGGTAACTTTCAAACAATAATAATGTTAAAAATATGATCTGGGAAACTAGAGGAAGAGAAGCAGCTACAAAATGTCGAGTCTGGATCATTAAAAAAAAAATCCAGGTGTTTGAACCTCTAGACTACCAAGCACACAGGCAAGCTTGAAGACCACAGCTTCTTCACGTCTGTCAAGTTGATCATTTTTGGTCACGTTATAAGAGGGAAAATGGAACATGTTGTGACCACTGGAAAAAATGTGGAAAAAGAGACAAAGGAAGACAATGCAAGACAATTTTTGACAACCTTTTGTCATGACACGGAGGGATGTCAATACAGGCACCTATACATGATGATGATGATTGACAACAACACTCACCAAGTCCTGATTGGTTTATAATTACATGGGATAAGTACCGAGAAGAGAAAAACTGAAGTACATTATTGTCATAGTGGCAAAGCTGGAGGAGAAAAGAAGCAGAGGGAGACAGAGAGACAAGATGCTGGACAGTTTGACATTATGGCACGGAAGATCATCTGTGTCAGAATTGATTGAAAGTACCTGAGACAGAAGGTTGTAGATATACATGACTACCAACACCACACAAAGAAGTGCTGACCGATCTGTAGAAATATGGGGCTAACACATCTGAAGGTGTGGAAAAGGGACCTTAACTTCATCTTGAGCTACTCATTATGAGGGATGTAAATTCTTCTTCAGCAATCAGTGTTTGATGTGCATCTTTTCCACTATAGGAAATAAATAGGATAGTGAGCTTAAGGTCTTTACCTGTGCCCCGTAGTTTGTTTTGTAGGGATGCTCCTGTGGGTCAGATTTCTTCCTTCTGACTGGCAGAGTTTGGGCATTCCTGTAAGACACGCTGTGGAGTTAGCCACAACCACATGCAGCAGTTGAGGAGGGGGAGGTAGACCCACTGCCTTCAGCAATCTTGTATAGTTGACTTCTTCTCTAGCCCTCTCTGCCTTTCAGCATCAAGTTTTGAAAAAGCATCAGGTGAGAGGCTTGGTATGTGCTACGTAGATGCTAATATTTATGGCCTCAGATATCCCATCTATCCACTGCTTGTGTGGTCGACCTCTGGGCTCTGCTTCCATTATGTCTAAGTGACAGGGCTCTTTGTAGTGCACTGTCTGGTGGCAGTCTTGAGGCACATCCAGACCATTTGATCTGTTGATAGGTGACTGATTGATTAGGGTTTTCTGAGATCAGATTTGTTGGGCTGAAAGGCATAAATACCATATCTTTCTGTAAACCACAACATATCATGCCAGCCACCCTTTCGAGGGCGAACGCTAAAGAAGAAGAATAATAATGTTGACACTTCTTCTACAGGTGGGAACTGTCCATGATGACGACAGACAACAACATATCAAGACTGCAGTCAAACAATGGCTGATCATAAAGCTACAGCCGGTGTGACACTTTCATCTCTTACTCAGAGTGCAGTGTAGAAAGTTCAGCCTACGTTATCATCAAATACAGATAGTCATACATACGGGTATTTTAATAAAAATATCATATGAAGATAAAAGTGATGATAGCTAAGCTACTGTGTGTATTGCTCCTACTCCTCCCACTATCTCTTACTGGAGCTTAAGCCCTCAACCATTTCAGACCAGGCCAACCTGTTTAATATAATATTTCTCTGTGTAATAGACGACCTCCATTTTTTTTCTAGCATAAAATTAAGAGATAAATGTTTTTAACACATTTTCTATATAAGAGAAACCCTAATTTAGAACTTGACAGATTTGGAAAAAACATATATCATCTTGTATGTGGAAACATGCAATATTTCCTGCAACTACTTTCATTGATGTTTATTGCATTAACATTTTCTTTTATATTTTGTCCTGTTCTTCCTCTTTTGCCTTGTATCTCCCAAAGGATCTCAACCAACTCATGCACATCCATTGCTGTCTCTGGCAGTTCCCTCTGAGCTCTCCAAATAATCCATCTCTGTTTCTGATTATCTTCTCTACGATTTTCAGATCACCCTCCATTTCTTTTGCTCAGTGGGTTTTGATGAAAAAACTTGATCTTGTCCTCATCTCTTGAATCTAAGGTTGATGTGAGTGATTCTGTCAGATGATTTCAGTCAATGTGCAGACACTAGTTAATGAATATTATATATTAGTAATTTAGTTCTTGTTTCTGACTCACCCAATATTCTTCTTAAAGTCCATGCCATGTGACGTTGATAGTCATGTCTATCCACGACCTTCTGTCTCGTGTACTTTCAATCAACTCTGACACAGATGATCCTCCATACCATGATGTCAAACTGTCCAGCATCTGTTCTCTCGGTCTCTCTCTGCCTCTCTTCCCCTCCAATTTTCCTACTGTCACGATATAGTCCAGTTTTCTCTTTATCACATGACCGATGAATTTAGATTATTTCTATGTTGGCAATCAGCTCTCTTTGTGAGTCAGTTTATTTCAAGACATCTTCATTACTCATTTTATCTGTCCAGGGTATTCTCATCATTCGCCTATAAAACCACATCTTCGTCGCTTCCAAATAAGTTTTCACTAATTTACCAACTGTCCATTATTTACTTCCATATATCAGGATACAATTTATATAGCTTTTAAGATTTATGTTTCTCATCTCAATTGACAAAGAAAGACTGCATAAAATATTCTTCATTTTATGAAATGCTGCCTTTGCTTGAGCTATTCTACATTTAACTTCTTTAATACATCTTCCATCTGACGTTATCAGGATATCCAAATGCTAAAACATATCAGCTTGCTTGAGGTTTGTCCTATTTACTTTGATGTTGCATTTTGGAGGGGCAGTTTTCTATGTAAATACCATTACTTCTCACCCAGCGTCACTGATTTTATTTTAAACATTAATAATTGGTAAGGTCTCTTTATATGTCCGTGGCACATTAGGCATATAAGGCTGGACTAATATTTGTATAGACCAATCCACCCTAGATGAGTCATGTGGTCAGCATCCTGCCGGACATCTTTACTTCCGAGGACTTTACCTGGTACTCATTTAAAGATGGGGGTCAACCTGGGAGCCAAGGGCATGTATGGAAAAAAACCAGCTCCATACGGACTTAAACTCCTGAGATTGGTAACCAGGTTAATTTTATTTTGAGTTTGAAATTTCTAGAGTTTGACTTCAAATGGAGCAGCTGTAGGGAAAAATGTTATAAAGATAAAAACCTCCAGTTTACTGGTGCTTTATTTACATATATTCAGAATGATATGCTAAGGTGTACAAAGAAAAAGTCTATTTCTTGATGTTTTCCACCCATTGTCTTCCTCTTGCAATGTTAAGGTGGACAAAGAATATGTCTATTTCTGGATGTTATCGCCCCCATTGTTATCCTCTTCCTGTCATCAGATGTAAAAAGAATAAAGTCTGTGTCTTGATGTTTTCAACCCATTGTCTTCCATTTTCTCTTCCTTTAAAAAAAAAATTATGTTAGGATACATTATTTTAAAAAAGTGTTGGGAACTCATTAAGTGTTAAGAACATTCAGTGCAGATATTTTCTGAAACTTATACTCAGAAATAAACTAAATCATTTCAATCTGTGGCATAATGTGGAATTTTGGCCGGTGTCATAAGTTAAACCTTGAACTATTACTTACCCTATGCAAGGTAATAATACAATAAAAGTGGCTCCCAGATATATCAGCCTAAAGTTGGTACCAGGAAATGTCCTGGAAGGTAAAAGCAGCCAGTGTGATGTTGACCATGTTGCCTTATGTTGCCAACTGATGTATACGAAAATGATTCTAGAAATATGTTACCAATGCACAGGTGACCTGAAAAGGGCCATTCATTGAAAAAATTACAATGCAGACAGCTTAACTGTTTGAGACCCAAAGAAGAGCATAGGTGAACCACTCATTCTGCAAAATCCCCTCCTTAGCTTAACATTTTCTTTTTTATTTGGTTAGAGCACATTCAAGAAATCAGGTTTATCCAATAGTCACCACTACTGTTATCTTGCTTCTTTTTTTTTTCTTCTTTCGTTTGCATGAAATAAATTATCTATATCTGCAATGCTGTCTCTAGTATGAATTTCACTGTCTTTTGTAATTCACTAAGCGGCCCGTAAAGTTTGACTTCCACGTGTCTCTTTTGGCCAAAGGTTTTGCCTGAAAGC